CTAACCCTAACCTCTAACTCTAACCCTAACTCTAACCCTAACTCTAACCCTAACTCTAACCTAACTCTAACCCTAACTCTAACCCTAACTCTAACCCTAACTCTAACCCTAACCTAACTCTAACCCTCTAACCCTAACCCTAACTCTAACCCTAAGGAGATGATTAGGAGAGTGTGTGAGGATATATTTCTCACTCATAAGCTTAGTCATCTGTTTCCCATTAACTTGCATTTATAGTTTCAGCCACTTGATTACATCAGTGAACCACTCAGATATGTTTGTAAGCACGACATGTGACTGGTGATATTCTGATCTGTAAGGATTTTTCCATGACTTATCATGTTTTGTCATGCAGCACACCAAAAGGCTTGGTTTGTAAGCATATTCTTACCAATCCAGTGATGAGTCATTGCTTAGTAAGGATGGTTTCTAAAATGTATATGAGGACATGATCAATAAGTTTTTCCCTCTTCACCGTGAGATTCATAAGATTTGAAGTGCAGGAGTTCTCCCTCTTTCTGTCTCAACAGTGTGAGATTACAAAGGAAGTGAAGGCCTCGAGATTGCATCAGAAAACCATCGTATTAGTGAGTTTCCATTAACCTGACGAAATACCCTACTCCTTCACTTCTCAAGAAGTGATCGAGCAGAGAAGTAATTCATTACCCTTCGGCCACCCACAAACAACACGTCATCAACCGAGAAGTAGAAAATCCGTTGACCGTGAACTCGAGGAGCCAGCACCTCAGTCTTGACCTCGACTCATATAAGACCCTCAAGTAAGAAGACAGCGTTAACGTCACACTACCTTTTCACCATTGCCATTATTGTGGCTTCACACGCCATGGCAGTCCTAGAGTGCTACTGCGGGGGGGCAGGGTCGAATTTCCATGCAAAGCAATATGCCATGCACTGGATTGAAATTCAACTCTTAGCATGGCAGTCTTGGACTGCACTGCCATAGTGGGGCAGGGTCGTTTTATTTTATTTAACTCGCCTCCTTTGGCACCATGGCAGTCTCAGAGTCCCATGGCTGCATGGGAGCAGGGTCGATTTTGTATGCAAAGCAATATGCCACACGGTCGTTTGAAATCCATCTCTCAGGTTTACTTGCTGCAGCAGTCTTGGACTGCCGCCATGGGGGCAGGGCCTTTTCGTCACAGAAGCAGGTGGATGCTCATTTCATTCATCTCAACTGGCTTTGCACCACGGCAGTCCCAGACCACCACCATGTGGGGGGGAAGGGTCATTTTTTTCGCGCTCTCATTCGTGTTTGGCTTCATGTGCCACGGCATTCTTGGACTGCCACACATGGTGGGCCAGGGTCGTTTTTACAACAGAAGTGGGGGGGACATTCATTTTATCTCATCCACGGCAGTCCCAGAGTGCCGCCGCGACTGGGGGTCATTTTTTCAATGAGCGCCCATTCGAGAGGCATGGGGGTGGAAGTGGCAGTCTGGCGGATTTCGACCTTCATGCCATGTGGGTGACAGTCTCAGACAGTCAGAAAGGGAGTCAGTCCGAGAAGGGCCAAGGGGAAGATGGACAGCCCCCCCCCCCCCCCCATGGGCGGCCGTCCTGGAAGGCCGCAAGCTGGTGTTTCCTCCCCTGGAGCATGGGGGAACCAAAATCTGAGGGGCCATGGGGAAGATGGACGGCCCCCCCCCCACACAGGCGGCCATCCTGGAAGGCCATCCTGGAAGGCCGCGAGCCGGGGGTTTCCTCGTGGGGAGCGTGGGAACTGAAACCCTGGTGGGAAGGGGGGGCCGTGGGAAAAATGGACTGCCCTCCATTGGCGGCCGTCCTGGAAGGCCACGAAGCCGTATTTTCTCCAAGGGGGGGGGGGGGGGGGGACCTGCGGGCGGCCGTCCAGGAAGGCCGTGAGGGACCGTGGGGAGACGAAAAAAAAACCCTGAAGGGAAGGCCGTTCCCACGCCTGAGGCGACCCTGGAGGGTGCTCATAACCATAGATATAACCAAACCCCTGTACAGTTTCTATATATAATAACCTGGGTGTAACCAATACCAGGTTACAAATGTGCCCTTAGAATCTCGAGCTGCCTGGCTTTTCAGACGATATACGGAGTATGGTTACGGTCGAGTCCTTGTCAGAGCTCGCATTAGATGAATCACTCAGCATGTATTTTGGAGAAGATGGGTCAGTTGATACGGAATCTCATTCGTGAGAGTTGAGGTTGATCATTCGCCTTCGACGGCCCTTTGGCGCACTTATCAGCATGGTGGAGAATCGCATCAGATCACAAGATCATGGCACGGGTCAAGAGCATGACTTCTGTTGGTGATATGATGGACGTGAGGACGCTAGAGATATTGTAGTTGCATGAATTTCAGAGAACAGGCAATACTGATCTTTTTCGTTCATATTTTGACGGTACTTCTATCCCTAGGCATCTATATCGTATTGTATACTCGAATCATCATTGAGAGCACCAGTTGAGGCGTCGTCTTCCGATTCCCAACTTCCCCGGTCACTTTCATTATCGGTCACAGCACGTCCTTATCGATTGTCATTAATAGTAATTGCTTCCAATTAGCTTCCACCCTGTTCACGGACAAGTACCGTTCTTTGTCAATGTACCGTCGACCACGCATGATTATACCTTTTCCCATCCCACTGAAGCACGCTGGTTTAAAGGAGTTGTTCAAATTTTGGACGGGGTAACCGCTCATCATCTCCACTCCAGCACCTGTAGTGACCCTCACAGCTCGAGTGTGTTCTCTCCATTTTGCGGCGAGCTATTAACCAGTTAGAACCAACAGTCAAAGAAGTAGATACCGATTACCAGACAAGACATATCTCTTTACGTGAAAAATTGCAGCTGCTATTTAGTACAGTATGGGCCGTAATTTATAGTTCATCAGCGGTCGCAGTCACAGATGATTCCGATTCGTTACCCCATGATAGCCACTTGATTACCTCCTCTCCTCGAACGGATTTTCCGTGTATTCCAACTCATCGTCACTATCGTCTCTGTGTGTCGGTGGGGGTTGTTCCCGAAGGAGTGATACAGGTCGTTTGGGCAGAAGTCCAAATTTAGCTAAGGTGTGATGAAATTAGAGACGCAAGGCAGCGGGAGGGAAGAAAACGACTGACTGACGTCAATTCCGCCCTGGGTACCAACGCCCGTGGACGGCGGCCTTGGGGTGTCACCCGACCGCCGGGCAAGTTCAGGCGGAGGGGACGTGCCCATGCTTGTGGTCGGCGGGGAATACGTCGATGGTCCTGCATAGGTTGGGCTATTGCTTGCAACGGACGTAGAGTCCGGTATAGGCTTAGTGGCGAAGTTCGGAGGAGCGTACGTCGCGCTTGGGGCGAGAGTAGGAACAGAGTTTGTCCTTGGATTTGAGTTGCCACCACCGGGACGAGGGGATTGCCACCCGCTTCCACGAACCCCATTGTCGACCGGTGGATTGGGGTCATAGTAGGATTCCTGGTGTTGCAGATTGGGATCATGGTAAGATGACTGGTATTGGGGCTGCGTGGGTTGTCCACCGCCCCACGAAGGTTGAGATGATTGACCCCACGTAGGCTGTGTATCTTGTCTGCAACAAAGATCCATTAGATGTTTCGCATAAATAGAGGTGACCAAATTGATGAAATGAATATCAAGAAGTGGCGGTATCATCTAATGGAATAACCTCTGGTGACAAAAGCAAAGGGATGCGAACCTGGACGTTCCCTGGCCCTGATCGTATTCCTGGATCTTCGCTTTAACTTTTGAAACGATTGAAGAGAATGTCTTCTTGCCAGCTAATGGTTTCCGGAGTCAGCTACTGCCTATGATACGAGGATGGAAGCACATACTTTCTGCTATCTTGTTGAAACCATCTTGGAACTCTGCCATAGTGTCCCGTTGCGGTGGAGCAACGGCCTGCGCCGTACTGGTATACCTTCCGGTTTCATCTCCACCTGCCCGGTCTCGACTAGCAGACCGCCTAGACTGATAATATTGGGGTCCTTGTTCCTGCTGCGGAGGGCGCCACTGATTCTGCGCAGCTTGCTCTTCCTCGAGCATGAGACGTCGAGCGAGTTGCTCGTCTAGGTCAGTCTGAGCAGGCTCACGCTGCTCCGGTGGCGGTAGCGGCTGAGAGACATAATCGGGATCACTCATCCCCAACAAGGTATCAATTGCCAGATCCTGGTCACCGTTGACACTCTGAAGTACAGATGATCTGCACGTCATTCAGCATATTTTACTTGACAGAGCACTGTCTACACACAGTAGAGAGTCGTCAAAATCCGGGAACATGGCGCGCAAGCTCGCGATGCGTGGATCCACATCGACATCAAGAGGACGCTGCGGGAGGCTCGGGGTGACTTCGGCCTGAGTAATAACAGGAGGTTGAGGCGAAAGAGTAATCATTTCACCGGCTTCTGGTGATTGGGATGGCGAAGGAGCTAATGCAAAGACAGGCGGGGGAAATTGTTGGTTATCGTGTATTCCTGGCGGTGAAGGAGGAAACTGATGCGAGTCCTCTGAATCTGAAGGCGGTGATGATGAGGCAGGGTTTGCTATATCTGGCGTATCCGTTTCTCTAAGTATTTGGATATAGCCGCAGACATATGACCAAAGTTACTCACCTCGAGGCTGGCCCTCGTTTGTCTGGGTCATCGTTGTAAGAACTGTTTGTACATGTGATCTTGGAGGTCGGTTTTATAGGATGAGAGTCTGTTGCGGAGTAGGTCGTGGCGGCGCAGTCATACGCTGTCATCGACAATATTATAATAATTAATACATAGCTTACCAATTATAGTAAGTACATATGACATTCGCCGACGGCGTAGCGCTGAGCTCATCTGGTGTACCATCACAGCAGACATGGATGATTTCGTTACTTGGTTTCAATACAATGGTGGGGTCTTGGATACTTCGATGATGGGCATCACCGATTTCCCTGGCAGTGGACGTGGTGCAGTCGCACTCCAGGATATACCTGTTCGTCTCCTTCAAAAAATTTCCGTCCAGACTCCAAATTGGTTACTCACATGTCCCCCAGGAAAACCATACAGTTTTCACGCTTCCTCGTGCCTTAACACTTTCAACTCAGACCTCGACCCTTCCTTCTGCATTCGGTTTTGAAGCATGGAGAAAGCACAAATTGCACAAGGGTTGGGCTGGGCTGATTCTTTGTATGATGTGGGAGGAAGCTCAAGGAAACCAAGGAAAGTGGATTACATATCTCGGTGGGTCTTTCCAAACAACCACTTGTCTTTTTTCTCTTAACTCAATATACAGCATCACTCCCGACGAATATTCAATACCCCAATATTCTGGAGTGACGAAGAACTACGAGAACTCCAAGGGACGGCTGTGGTAGGTCTGTTGTCAAAATTTTCACATTTCTCGTCGCATTCTCGTTTATGAAAGCAGACGCACTTGGCTGACGTAGTGAAATCTAGACAAGATAGGTCGGGATGAGGCTGAGCGCGACTATCACGAGAAGCTAGCTCCAGCGATCAAGGTAGATCTATTTTTTTTTCTCTTTTCCTACCCGGATTCAAATGTCGAGCGAATTAGACTCGACCGGACCTTTTCCCCTCTGATCAAATCGATACATGGTACACACTTCATCGGTACCATATTGCAGGTAGTCGAATTCTATCTCGAAGCTTCAATGTGGAGAGGTGGGAAGGGGAAGTTGAGCAGGATGTCGGATACGTTTCAGAAGAAGACGGTAACGAGGACACCCGGGCCGACACAAGCATCGGAAGCGCAATGGATGTTGACGGTTCAGGAGACAGTGGTGAAGCTGTGGACAAAGAGAGCAGTGGCAGAGATAGTGATGATGAGGAAATAGAGGACACATCAGATATTGCAATGGTGCCTATGGCTGATATTCTGAATGCTCGATATGACTCTGTCAATGTAAGTCATACGGACATGGGATCTCTGTCCCAGTCTTTCTTTGCGCTTGCATAACATTCATGCAGCTCTTCACAGGCTAAACTTTTCTACGAGAAGCACGATCTTCACATGGTCACTACGAAGCCCATCAAAGCTGGAGAACAGATAGTAAGTTGGCCCGCACTAAGTGATTATGTCGGTTCACATCCATTCAAGTTCAATACATATGGCGACCTGCCCAACTCAGACCTGCTCCGGCGCTACGGACATGTTGATCTTGTGCCTTGTCCCCATCTAAAGGGCGCGCTTGGAAACCCACAAGACGTCGTGGAGATTCGAGCAGACCTCGTTGTCAACGTTGTTTGTGGTGATGTATCTAATAGCGAGACATATCGACAACGAATCGACTGGTGGCTCGACGAAGGGGGCGATGAGTATGGCCTTCGCTTGCTATTATTTCTTTTTATGCTCAAGCACACCATCTAGTGTTTTCATCATCGATGTGGATCCAATTCTCCCTACAGCACTAACATCTTTGATCAGACTTCTACTTCTTACCCAAGAAGAATGGGAAAAGACACGGGAGAAAGGACGTCCACCGAAAGTCAAGTTTGATTCCCAAGTCTCTTCGTTATTGCGAAGAATATTTGAGATGCGCTTGACCAGTTATCAATCACCAGATCTTGAAGTATGTTCATCCAATCATTGTTCTACTCGGGGATCGGTGACACGGAAACTATTCCTTGTTTTAGGCTGACGCAAAGCTTCTTACAATCCAATCGCTCACGCTCAACAAGAGACACGCCATCGTAGTACGGCTCGGGGAGAAGCAAATTCTGGCAGGCGCACTTGAAACCCTGCGCCTCATGGATGCGGCTTTGAGTGACGTCGGGAGTAATGGATCTAAAGGCAAGAAGCGTGTTGCGAGTGAGGGTACGACAGGTGGAGCAAAAACAAAAAAGACCAGGCATTGACGCTACGAAGGCCTGCGCACGGACCGACCCATTCACGTCTCCTGTTCATTGACCCCCTGATTGTTATCGATATGCAATGGAGAAGAACGGAGAGTACCGAGTAGCTTTGTCAAGTAGCCACTACTGGTATATCGATCTTCTCGCTAACCTTCCGACAGCAACTTTTACCTATCACATCGGTGTGTAACTGGCCAAAGGGACAATGCTGCATCCCATCACACGAAATTCTAACCTATAGTTGGCAACCGGAACTGCACGAGGCTCCTCCCGGGATCAGAACGTCCTATAGTATTGTTCGGATAACGTTCAAAAGAAATACTTTTAGTAAGGTTCAACGTTCATCCTTTGAACGGGTCCATTCAGCACGCCGTCAAGATGTGAAAGATGCAAATAAACTCTATATATATGCGTCTTCCCTTCCAATGTTGTTGATCCCAACAGTTTTGTTAGTTGACAGATGCTGGCAGACGGGTTGGCAGGTGCTAACGGATAGCATAATTTTGTGCACTATCCTATCGATTGCTGATCGCCCCGCTAGTTTCTTAGCAGCCCAACGGCGCAGTTCTGCTGACGCCCACCGGTGATACTCGGTGATGCCAGGTACTCCCGCGTCTGACGTGAGTTGGTTCCGGTTGAACGGGTAACTATCGCACGAATTTCCAACATTTTTGATGACTTCACGCTTACATTAGGATGGGATCGCACGTGTATTGTGATAGTGGGGTTCATCACACTCCTGTAAGCTTTGGCTTACCTTTTCTTGGCGTCGCGTCAGCGTTGGTTGGATCTTACGATATTATCTGATGGCTACTCATGGCCATATAGCATGCAAATGGACGGCCTTATCTAGATCCCTTACCTCCACACGGCGCCCATCCATGTTACGCCTTGTCTAATCGTTCTTTATGTTAACGTCCGAAACGGACGGCTTCCAATTGCACTACTTTGAGAATTATCTAATCGCAAGAAGGAATCAGTGGAATCACAACAAGGCGCGAGGACCCCTAAGAGTAGTATGCCCATGGTTTTGCTACCATTTCTCTGCTTCTTCAGCGTCTAGCCAAACTGGATTGAATTCGATTCCTTGTCGGCACACTGGTTTGCGTTACCTGCCGAAATCATTGTGCTCCCTTCAACGCGTGCCACGCGTAAAACGTCTTCCATCGCGGTACGCATTTCCCGGTCCCGTTTCTCCTGCTGCGGACCGTCGGAAAGATGACATGTGTACTGATTCAAACGAGAAGAAATTTGGGTAGTGGTTGCACGATCATAGCGGATGGATTGATACGCGTGAAGTAGGTGAAGAATCTGAGAGCGGTGCACGAGACGAGAGAAAAGGTTTCCCAAAACAAGGCAAGAGGAATGAGTGATATCATTATAAACAGATGAAATGACTCGCATCGCCTAAAATACAATCCTTCGGGCTTCACAGTAACTTCCTTGAGGCGTTTTCCCAGACCCCAGCGGATCAGAAGCTAGGTCAGATTTGAGCCGAGTGAGCAATGGAGCACTAGGGTGGCACATAGTACATTTGCAATCCGTTCACTTTTTCCTGTTGCTGTTTAAGACCTGTCGCCCATTGTGCTCTTGTTACTCCTGTGAGCCATCGAACAGTCAAGCGGCAGTGACAAAAGAACACACACCATTAATGCAATGCAAAAGAGGGTGCAGGATTGAGGGACGTATGTATATCTACAGGTTGTATTTAATGCCAGTGCCAGGTGAGGCCTGCTAGATATTTCTACGGGTGTGACACGTCCGTGAGTACTTCCGCCCTCGTCACTAATTGTCAGCTACCACTCGGCCCCCCGCACATAGCAGTAAAACCTAGCGAATCCGAGTCAATGGCGTCAAACCGGGACCAGCCAGGCGAGAGGCAAATAGTAAGAGTAGTGATAGTACTGATCATTCCGAGTATTTCGCAAGCATTCCGCGGTGACCTCTGTGGCCCCTGTCGCCTTGAATGATGGTTGTCGGCTGATGTTGACCTTTGCAATGTGTTGCACTGCAAACTTAAGTCACTGCCAGCCAACTTCATCAGAATCAGGTGTATGGTGGTACCATGCCAACGTTAAACAGAGAGTATAATTTATAGTTGATTTATAGTAACAATTTAACTCAACAGTGCTTACAAAGATAGTCGACGATATGAAGTGGCGGTTAAGTTATCATTACTGCATGCCAACAACCTGCAGACCATATGGAGCTATGCTTAACTGAGATCTTGAGAGCTCGAGGAATTTTTCGGTTTCAAAGGGCTTCTAGGCCGGTCACAATATCAACGTCGAGTCAAATGGTCCGGAGATACGTTTCAGAGTGAAATCTATCCTAAACAAGAACTGGAGAACTTAGAATTCGACGAGCACCCAATCTCGATGTCCCAATGTTCACCTGCTTATACCCTCATGTGTCAATGTTAGGGCATTAAGCAGGCAGTTGGATCAGTACTTAAATCCATTGGGAGAACATATGGTGATGGTCGTGCCTTTGAAACTTAATTGCCTTTTCTGCGACCATATGCTTACGTAATGAAAACGTATAGCACTGTCATTACGTCTAGTATCATTTCGACTAAACTTAGTGACCTTCAAGTGACTCAGGCTCCTGCGCCCATGAACAATCGTATTGCGCGCTCCGTACTGGAGGGTAATCACAAAATGCTTATTGATCAATACAAAGCAAACCTTGCAGATGTACGTGCTCTCCAATCAACCTTGAATGATGAGATCTTGTCCCATGTGGTCCAAGAATTTGCGCTCAGTGATGCGGACCATACATGGGCGAAGGAATGGATCTCGGATACAGGTAATTGTTGTAGCATCAGATCTGTGAAACTGTAAGTTGACTATGAAGTGCAGCGACCATTTTCCGTTTCTTACGGGTGGGTAAAGTGCTAACCACTTGCAACAGCAAGTGTCTCCGCTAAAGTCTGGCATGTAGCACCATAGATTCGTTCGTTCATTCGCACTGGAGGCCATACACACGACACTCGTTTGGCGTCTAAACGTGTTGCGACTCTTTGCTCTCCCTTCTGCACTGCTTCATTGCCTTCCACCGCCGATCTGCGATCCACTTGGCCGTCCCCTCGTGTTTCTCCAGTTGTCAGAATTGTTGACTTGCGAGCGAACAATGATGGATGGGTTGCTGATCTCCCTTGACCGCCTGCGTATTCATCTCCGCTTACTCAATACTCTTAACAACGAGTTTGCAAACCGTGAAATAACCCTACAATGTGTTTTCGTCATCGACCTTGAAGGTCTATCAATCCAGTCGGTTGTATGTCCATGCCCCTTTAGACCCAAACTTTTATTCAGTTCCATGACAGAACTTTAAAATTTTAACGTGGTTCATGAAAGAAGTGGTTCCCCGGTACCCTGGAATGCTTGGTGCAGGTAACAATGCATCTCTAATAATGTGCGATGTGCGATGATGAAACTCAATTTTATTTTGCGTCAGTATTCTTCCTCAATTACTCTTGGACGTATGCAATGACCTGGTCCCTTGCGAAGTGCGTTTATTTCAGACACGTTTTTGGTCTGCTTGACCAGAACCTAGGTCCCTACTTCCTAAATCCGCGGTTGCCCGAGTCTTCTTTCCCTCCAGGGAGGAGCTTCTTCAATACTGTTCTGCGTCAGCGTTACCATCTAGTTAGTCACCCTATCTTGTTGCCTTGCACACTTAGCAGCCGTGCATTTGTCAGATTATGGCGGTGCACTCTCGCCACTCCACCTCATTGAAGATCCATTAAATTCGGACGACCAGAGAAATTACGCTTCTATTGCTTCACGTGAATGGTGCATGCCGGCGCCCAGCATCGGGCTTCCTGAAACCCTACATCGGCAGCCTTCGTCCGTATCCATACCCCCTCGATCCTCCCTCAACCCCTTCTTCGGTTATCCTACAGTCGCTTCCCTTTCAAGACCGCACATGGTGCAACAAGGTCGCCGGCGAAAACGTGATCTGTTGTTGACCCTCTCCGTTCTCTGGTGGAGAAGATGGGGTAAACGCATCATCATACTGCTCTATTTTCTTATCATAGTTGGTCTCACGCGGAAGAAAGTCAGGAGAGTAGCACGATGGATGCTGGGGGTAGGTCTACCCTCTGGTAGCACCTTGCCATGACTAAGCTAGCCTGTATGATGAAATCGATGAACCGGAATATCATTTCGGCGGTGCTGGTGCCATGCTACGCAGTCAAGAAGTGCCGAGGTGTTTACATAACTTGCCTTGCATGCAATCGATATTAATTAATCATTCATGGTTCTCAATCGGCGGAGTGATCCCTCGCTTCTCCAGCCAACATGATGCTACGTAGCTCAGTCAGGCTCAGCCCTTGTTACTTTCGTAGCGGGCCTGCATTCTGGCACTCAGAAGAGGCCATCCACCAGATTAATAGCGCGATCCTGGACACATCATGTAGGGTATCATCGTACTAGTACTAGTGTCGTCCGCGCAATACAGGTTTACATTTACTTCCTACAGCTTGGGCGCCAAAACCGCCGCCGGCAGCACACTCGGTTTCTATCAGGAATGATCAAGAGCTCTGACGTAGCTTGTTGATATATTAGAGGAAGTACTCGGGCAGCTAGGTGGAGCAAACATTCGTGTGAGCAAATTGGTCTATTCAAAGAAAATACGGAGCGAGATGACCACAAGAATAGCAACGTACCTTCCCACCAACATTTTGGGGAGCCTGTTGACTTGGACCATCACGATCGTTCTCCGGGGCGGCTTCGAACACATTGAAATACATGCTCTCGCCAGGACCCACCTCGAGTATACTTGCAGAATTGCCGCAACGATAACAATAGTTAGGCGCCGACCAGACCGTCGAAAGGTGTTTGTCAAACAGTGACGAATATCCTTCCATGCAGAGTTGATGTGCGCGTAGAATATGCGACATGTTGTTCGTTTCCAAGAACTTGTGCACGACGCCTGATCCAAACGTGTAGCCAGCACCTCTACATGATCCGTTCCAAATTAAAACATTAGATACAATACAAGCAAGGATAAGCCTCATTAGTCAATAACGCTGGTGATACGCTGGAGTAGGCACGGACCTTGGAGATATTGCAAAGTCTTCTTTTTCTGCATCCGGATCCGACCATACCAAATCAGCCATAGGACCCTCGTGTGGAATTTCTGAATGAAGTGAGGGCAGGGAGCAATGATAACCGGAGGTAACATACCTCGAAAACGATCTACAACTTTGATTTGATCTACGGAGTGGATAGACGGCGAAAGACCTGAGACGAGGAATTCATCAGATCGTGTCATTGTGAAGTAATAGATCACTGATGACCTCCATGAACACAGAATATCCGATCATCGATTACCACAGACAGGGTCAAGAAGTCGAACATGTCTGTGAAATACGTCCATACATGTGACGAACCGTATTTCCGCACACATTCCGTATAAAACCCATAAGTCTAAGTTAAACATTGAGCGATAAGGGAGCTCCATAAACATCATGGATTGATGGCTGACTTGTGTTACAGCCCTTGATTCATGGTTGCCGCGAATTAACTGGACTCTGTCCGGGTAGCGCAGCTTAAGACACGTAAGGAGTGATATGGTCTCGACGCTGAACAGGCCACGATCTACGTAATCTCCTGGTGCACTATGAGCAAAGGAAAGTTTATTCTGACAGGAAGAAAGGAACTCACCGAGGAAAAGATAATTGGTGTGGGGAGCGTAGCCACCTATGCGGAAGATTTCGATGAGGTCGTAGAACTGACTTGAGTTTCATGATGAAATGTCATACAGTGATTAAATCCACGAGCCACTCACCCGTGTATGTCTCCAACGACAGTTACTGGAGCACTGACATGCACCACATTGGATTCCCTCATGAGAACCTCTTTCGTTTTTGCACAAATTTCGCGTAAAAGGGCCTCATGTAAAAGCTGTTTGCGGAGTAGTTGCTGTATACACGCGTCGAGATCGAAGGGGGCCATAATTCAGCGGTCTCGTGCTCCGAGTGATTTGGAATCTGCAGGAAGCTCAAGGTTAGTCACGAGTCACAGATCCATTCCTTTGTTCGTGTTTGGGTACGCCTTTCAGCGCTGGTGCAATTGAATTGGTCTTCGACGAAGTCGCCATACTTGGTGCAACCAAACAGCATTATTTGAAGGCCAAAAATTGCATGCACTTATGCAGCTCAAACAAAGTTTCGACTATCAAATCGGTCGTGCTCCTTGGCGCTCTGAAGAAGTTGAGACCCGTGTCACTACTCAGTATCATGGGTAAGGTTAAGTTTGGGAGCGGTCAGGCCTGGAAGGACGGAAATTTTCTCTCATCGTGCCTGGCTCCGAATTCAATCTGCACAAGCCACAAACCCATTTTTACGTTGGCGTTTCAAGCTTGGGCGATCCTGAAATGAGCGCTCTGATTGGTGGAAAGGGCTTCGGCTAAACGGCATATTCCCTTGAAATTGTCTCACCAGGTTCAAAACTCAGACTGAGGGTCTCCTGATCTCATCCTCGAGGCTTTCGCGTGTGTAATGAATACTTACCATTCCAGTGGATTGGCGCTTGCCGGGGAGGCACGCTGCGGGGAGTACACTAGTAGCTCCACTGTCAAGCCATACTCCGAAATTGTGCATTTTTATTTTATTTTCGTCGACTTCTTCAAGTCATATGCACTGATGGGGAGCTTAGTTGTGCAGCGTTTCAATGTTGAAACCGAATGGTGATTCACCGATGGCTCTATCCGAGGAGATAGACCCACGGTATCTCATTGGTGCAATATGACTTGTTGAGGACAGACAAGCTTCTTGGCTCCGAGTAATTCATTATCACGCCGATGGCAGTCGACAAATCGCCCAAACAATTGCCTCGCAATATTTTGGGCTACCGTCGGTGCCGAAAAGGAAGACGCCTTCCCGAGGACAAGAACACGTGGAAAGTGCGATTCTTCATTTGTAGGAAGACACTGGTATCGGAATGTCGTATCTGTCTACTCTCACTGTCGCTGTTGAGTCAGTCTTCTTTTTCATGGTAACGCTGCACTGGAGATTGAATCGGGCGCTCACTGAGGAGTTCCATCCCCTTTATAGTGACCTGACGCGAGTTTTGTCTCGTGTGGTCATCCATCATCTTCCTGCTAGCTGAGTGTAAACGTCACTCTCGACGTTGTGGAAATCCGCAAGCTCTTGTACCGGCGTTTTGTCAACGTGCAATATACTTCTCACATTAGATTCGATCTTCGGGCGACATTGTTCGGGATGCCATGGTCCTAGGCGTAATCATTCCAGCACAGCTGCTAACCAATCCAAGATCCCGACGAGAACGCTGATTGGACACCTTTTTCACGAGGCATTCTCAATTGGCTGGGATTTCCCGGCTAACGTTCCAACAGGGTCTAGTAAGTACTAACAACAAAAGGTATGGTAACAGGCCAGCTGAGCCAACTTAGTCGCTTCTTTTCATGACTTGTCTGTCTCCATGTATAGCCCCCCCTGACATCAATACCATTCAATACACCTAAGGGTCACCGTGATCTGCTCATATATAATGGATCTTTCCGCTTAGCGTTAGATGAAAGTAGCATGTCCACGACAAGTTGCTGCACAAGGGTTGCCAAGTACTGATATATATGTCTTACGAGAACACGGCAGATCCGACTCGATCAGTCGACTGTCCAGGAACTCACAGAGTCTCACACTCCGCAAACTCTCTAGCCTCGTGATCTCCCTACGGCGATCTTCTGCAAACCTGCCGTTCACTACAAATGGAGGAGTTCTCATTCTGAGCTCAGCACACAGCTTTCTTCGGTGAGACCCCGTATCTGTCCAATCTTGTCTGTTCTAATTTTTTCCATTGTTCCTTCTATTGCACCACCCGCTCCCGAGGTAGTACCTTCACTGAACCCTACCTGACGGAATTTTAGTCTCCCGGCTAATGGTCATCCAGGACCATACGAATGACAATCATGATTGGGTCATTCCGCGCCCACATGATGCTGCTTGCAAGAATTGATCTGGCATCTTCCACCGAATATCTCTTGGTGCCGGAGCCATACGCAGCCTTAACTCTTTCATACCGGAATTACGCTCTGAGAAGTAATGATTTAGTAACCGATCTACTCTTCATTAAGGTACGTTGTCACCCTGATATGATATGACAGGCGACACCCGAGTACTTTCACTGCAAAAATGTATATAAGGACTCGACAAGTGGAAGAGCTGGGAAGTCCACCAAAACCTCCTTGCACGATGCAATACCCAAATCCGTACTCCCACAACGGTCATCAGACACAACAACCACATGTTTCTGCCCACCATCCCCGACAATCCTCTTCGAGCTCGAAGAGCCACCCCTCCGCATACCCCCAACAAACACAGGTATTATCGGGTTACCCACTTGACAGTACTTTGTCCAATGGCATAATAGGTATTGATATCATTGAACGGCGCTTTTATTGGTAGTTAACATTCTTCAACCAGGGAACCACACTAGTAATCCATTACAACCCTCTCCTTTCTCTAACCACCCGCAGCACGGGACATCATCTGCTATGGACATGCGCAGGCCATATTATCCTCCTCCTCCTGCTCCTCCTCCCGCTCCGGTGAATCAGCCTGATACTTACTACCCTTCACACCATCACTCGTCCGGGCCAAGTCCCCAATATGCGATAAACTCCCATCCGCATATCGAACCTCAGACTCTCCATACTCATTCAGGACCGCAGCAATTCATCCCAACACCATCACAGACGTATCAGGTGTATTCCAATACTATGCCATCGAACCCGCGCTCCCGCTCCACCATTGAACCGTACTATCATATGTCCCCCAATCCTCAGCACACCTCCCAGGGTAGCACATCCCCTACTGTGCCACGTTCTGCGCATGCATCCCCCTCCACCAACCCGGCACTTATTGGAGATCGCTTTCCCTGTGAGCTCTGTGAGAGGTCGTTTACTCGCTCGCACGACAGAAGGAGACACTATGAAACCGTGCATGCTACAACCCCCGTCCTACATCGATGTCGTTTCTGTGGGAAAGATTTCAGTCGCGCGGACTCACTTAAACGCCACATCGATAATGGATGCGACGAGATGTCGCACAAATAGATCCGGAAAATGACTTTTTGATTATCTTCTTTCAGCCCCACCTTTACCATCTGGGCATGTCCTAATTCTGCACTTGAACATTACCTCTGCTACGTTAACTATCATGTCATATAATTTCCCCCAGTCCAATGCTTGGAGCGTGCTTGTACTTATGTGTATTCTTACTACTGCACTAGACTCGGAAGGATCCTCCAGTAGCCCTACGGTAACTGGTACGCAGTTGCTAAATATGACGCGACGCATAGTGTTCCCTCACACAAATACTCTCGAATCGATCCCCTAGCACCTGATGAGAGCATGATATTCCTGACTAGGGCCCTCGCGGTGACATTTCGTGACCGATATATCTCATAGGCCCAAGGTCTAGAATTCTAAAGTTGAGCGTCATGTCTGGATCATATCTCTGACTGTCTATGTCCTTATTTAAGAAACAGCTAGTCATCGTGATACCCAAACAGTCTGCTGATCACTAGTGCATTTATGGATCAATCGATCACACTGGTTTTCTTCTGGTGCGTCAGTGACGTGGAGCCGTTCAAATGCACTGATGAAAGGCTTTCCCTTATTGACTGCCTTGGATGCGGGAGCCCGGCGAGTCTTGGTCACGTCACCTAGTTTTTGGAGAGAGGCAGCCGTTTTGGAGTTGGCGCCGAGGGAGCTCTTTGCAATCGCCGTGCCTATCCGATCATATGATAGGACGATATCCCACAGGGCTATCAGGAACCGAAACGATCGCACCGCAGCATGGCACATCTGCAACCGAATCGAAATACAGAAAGCTACCCCGAGGTCCTCGGATTGGACTACCCACACATACAAGTCTGTTTGAAGAACTAGGCAAGAAACAACGTCATGCTATTAATCGCATGCCATGTTTGTTTTCCGAAGAACTGTCTCGCGAATTGCGGATCCGCTTCCGGGACCTGTAAGGAACAAGTAAGTTCAATGATATCAAATGGGGTGTCCGTTCAAACGCTGGTAGTACGTCGGTGAGAGCAGCCCCACCAGCCCCTCACTTCGTACTTACGACGTGATATGGCCGTATTCGAAAGCTTCACAATTGGAAACCAAGCGAAATAGCTCAGCAGAAGACTCTGGTGGACGAGCCACACAAGAGATGTTTACCTCAGAAGTTTACGTAGGAGGGAACCACAAGTGATAGGGGCCCACCTTGGCGGAAGAGAAAATATGAATGACACTTCTAGTAGTAAACTCACAGATGTGTCGCACGCCGATGCGCGTATGAATAATCAATGCATTGATATAGATTTCAATCATTATCATCGTCACCTGAGTCACTGTCTCTGCTTCCGTTATCCACTAAGCCCTCGATTTCGACCCCGGGACTGTCATCCTCGACGTGATCATCGTCTTTTTCTGCGCGTTTCTTGTTCAATTTGTTTATGATTTTGTCGGCACGATTGAATATTCCACCCGTGGGGGCACCGCATGCCAAGCATTTTGGAGTTTTGGCATAGCGCTTGATTGCACAAGCCAAACAATAATAATGCCCGCACCGCGTGGCCACTGGATCTGTATAAGGTTTGCGGCAGATGAGACAAGCAAATGGTATGTCCTCGTTGTCAGAATCGGAGTCTGACACATCCTCGACTTGTTTCCGTGGCGTTTCAGCGAGTTTATCCAATTGCCAACCAGCGAGATCTGTCCAAAGTAATGGTATTCAGTTTCTTTAAGAGTAAAGGCTATGCGAACATACATGTGCCACGGTCGTGCAAAAATTTGCAAGTGTCACCAAAGCCACAGTACCCCGTTTCTGATTGGAATGATCGTTTTAGTATCCGTATCCATCGGAGGAGAAACTTACGAACCTTTGTAGTCTTTGCAAACATCAGGCTGATAATCAACAATGGTTACGGTACGAATGGTGCTGGTGCCTCGCTGAGGACCAACACGCATGGCTTTGGGTACTTCCTGACTTTTCTTCAGGTGGCTTCGATAAGCATTCTGGCCCCTATACAGCCCATCATCAGGTATTTCCTCTTCCTCTTCGCCTCTGTCCGCTTTCTCTTTCTTCTGACGTTTTGCAAGTAGCTCTGCAGCTTCGTCACCAGCTAGTATCTCAAGTGCTGCGTTGGTGTGTGAGCCGGCTGCCGTCCATTTTACAGCAGGACCATCACGTTCCACAAAGTCTGGATCGTCCATTTCATCTTCCCTTCGTTGCGCAGCCGTACGTTTCGTGCCAGCGCTCAGAAGATTGCCAGTTGCTTTACGGGAAGGAAGAACCACCTCAGACTTGGATGAAGACGGTATCGGCGCTAATACACGGGGAGGCGGAGAAGCCGATCGTTTTCGAGAGGTTGTTGGTCGAGATTTTCCCTTCTTGAAGAAGGGGACCTTAACTTCGTTTGTGGTAGACATGGTTCTTGGTGAAGGTTTGTGCAACCTCGAGCTCATAGTCGATCGTCTAAACTACAACCAATCTTAGTCATGCTTGTATTAGTAAGCTACTAACCCACAGGTCTCCTTGCGCACCAACAGCCTGAGCTCGAGTGTGCTAAGTACGGTGTGCATGAATGCTAACGTTCATCGCTGGACTCAAATGCGACTATTGAGACGAAACGATACCAAGTCGGCTAGTGACTGATACGTCTTGATTCAATGATTGCAATATTAAATTACCACCGAAAACTACCAAAGTTCATAACAAAAACCGTACTCATCCCGTTCAATTGGTCTTTCATTTGAATCTTGCGGTCGACACTGACCGTCATCATTCACATGCACAGCCCAGGGGTCAGCTTCAAAAAATCGAGGCACGATTTACTGATACGCTCAGTGCAAACTCTCAATTGCAAAGCGGTGTAGATTAAGTAGTAACGTATTTCGCCGCTGCAGGGTGCCCGATACAAATTTAGAGGCAAACCCCGTCTGTCCGGCCGTCCGCCTGAATCTGGAGTGCTGACATAATCGTCACTATCCTACTCACACCGAAGTGTTATTTACAGGACTTGTCAGGTTTCATGACGCGAATTGGCGCGCAGTATGGAAGGCAGCTCGACAACAGAGATTATGAGGAAGAGATAGAGCAAATTCGGTGAGTGATGGATGTTACTCACGCGCATCATCTGTGCTGAGAACTGGAAAGACGTTATGAGGATTTCACGACCATTGGTACATACATTTGGAACTTTACCGCGCCTGTTGACTGACCACACGTGTCACACCGCCAGATTGGATTCAAGATTCGATAGTAGAACGGAACAGACGCATACGCAATGCAAAGGCAGCAAAGGCGGCCTACCGCGGTCCTCGCGGTGAGATCACACCTACATGGGTGTGGGCTCAGCTCTGGAGGTTTCTGAGAGCTGGAGAACCCTGGCTTGTGATAAGTTTAGTTGGTAAGGATTGCCCATTACCATAATTCCTTGACCGACAATGTGCCAGGTATCTTCATTGGCGCGAATGCTGCTTTCATTTCAATTGTCACGGAATGGCTCTCGGACATCAAAATGGGATACTGTACGGACGGATGGTGGTTAAACTCCCAATTTTGCTGCTGGGAAGTTGAAAGTGATGAGGAGTTTTGTCCTTCATGGCGTCTGTGGAGTACGGCGCCTCCAGCACGATGGTTGATCTATGTTATATTCGCGGTAAGTCCTCTCTATCTTAATATTTTGACCTTGACAAAGTCTATGTCTATCGGCAGGCTATATTTTCGTTTGTAGCGGCTCATCTTGTTCGTAGCATGGCGAAATATGCTGCTGGATCTGGCATTTCAGAAATCAAATGCATTCTCACGGGCTTCATCATGCAAGGGTTCCTCGGGTATGCAACCTTCTTCATCAAGAGCCTTACGCTTGTGAGTTATCTTTGCAATCCCGTGAACAATATTATCGACCAGAAATAGCCTTTGGTGATTGCTTCTGGGTTGTCCGTTGGTAAGGAAGGCCCTTCGGTGCATGTTGCGTGCTGTATTGGAGCTATCGTCGCCAGCTGGTTCCAGCGGTTTTCTCGAAGTCAAGGTTTGGTTGAACACTTTCACATATATATATGTCTTCATTCTCAATAATCAAGGGAAAATGCGTGAAATTATCACTGCCGCCAGTGCTGCAGGAGTGGCAGTTGCTTTTGGGTCACCAATCGGTGGTGTTCTGTTTTCTATTGAGGTACCAATACCCATATCTACGGTGTTTTCTGAATTTAAATCCGTATTTTCAACAGGAGATGAGCCAGATGTTTCGCATCAAAACGATGTGGAGAAGTTTCGTGTGCGCGTTGGTGGCGACGTTTACGTTATCCGTCAGTGGATTCCCTCGCCTCATCCTACCATTTTGAATATCTTATTTCAGGTGATGAATCCGTTCAGAACGGGAAAGCTTGTGTTATTCCAAGTGACATATAACCGTGATTGGCATTTCTTTGAGATTATCTTCTTTATCATACTTGGAATATTTGGCGTAAGAATTTTAAATCCCTCCAATTTCGCCCAAAATTGTTGACAACGTCGCTTGTCATTCCAGGGACTCTACGGCGCGTTTATTGTCAAATTTAACATGCAGGTAGCTGCATTTCGTCGAAAACACCTCGCAGCACACGGCGTTGCAGAAGCTGTTATTCTTGCGACCCTCACTGCGACTATTGGTTACTTCAATCGTTTCATGCGCATTGACATGACAGAGATGATGTCAATTCTCTTTCGTGAATGCGAAGGAGGCGGAGATTACGACAATTTATGCCAGTAAGTACTGTACTGATCTCATTCGGCCTACATTTTTCTCATCTTTTTCCGCAAGAATGACTGTTCAGTGGCCCATGGCGAACTCTCTCCTTCTCGCTACATTCATACGCATGGGATTTGTCGTGATTTCTTATGGGGCGAGGGTCCCCGCAGGTATCTTCGTACCTTCGATGGCTGTTGGAGCAACTTTTGGGCGGATGGTTGGCATCATGGTAAAGGCAATGTATCGGTAGGCGGACATCACTGGCTCTCATCACAGAATTACGAGAACTCTATAGTGCTTATCCTCACTCAGGGATCTTTGCGGTTTGCGACCCAAATGTACCGTGTATCACACCGGGCACTTACGCCTTTCTTGGAGCCGCGGCAGCTCTTAGCGGAGTTATGAGGATAACTGTGACTGTTGTCGTTATCATGTTCGAGCTCACTGGAGCATTGACGTACATTTTACCGACTATGGTGAGCCTGATAGTCCAATTTTACGATTAAGAAAGTTGGTCCCTCGAAATTCAAGTCCTTGATACTGATTCTCTCCAGATTGTCATACTGGTAACAAAGGCTATCGGTGACTTCCTTGGTACTCGTGGCATTGCAGATGAGGCGATTCGATTCAATGGCTATCCGATCCTTGAGAACGAGGATCACGGCTTCAATGTCTCAGGTTAGTGTTTCGATTGCTACCTACATTCATGTCATTCTTACATTCATGAAGTTTCGGAGGTCATGAAGAAGGATCTTGATATTCTGTTTGCATCTGGGATGCTTGTCTCTGATGTTGGTACGTATTGACAGATCACCATTAGCTAGGAGACACTATTAATCAGTGCTTTACAGAGCGATTGTTAGCGTCTACCAATGTGAAAGGTTTTCCGATAGTTGCTTCCGAATCGTCTCAAACGCTTGTTGGGTACATGGGCAGAACTGAATTGCGTTACGTACTAGGTATGTGTCTGCTAGCGTTTGGCTCTCGTGTGATCTAACACAGCCTAGACAAAGCCCAAAACGTGGGGGATATATCCCCAAGCACGCCCTGTGCGTTTACTAGAGAAGTCTCCGACCAAGAGGACTTTGTTTTATCAGACATGACTTCTGGATCAGCTCTTGGTGTTGAAGAAGACATAGCGACGGAGTTTATAGAGACAAGTGCAACTATCGATGTGCTTAAACTCTGGCCTTGGGTGAACCAGGTACTGTACTTCGCGCGAGCTCTTTGACATCCTTTGACTTGTCCTAAAGACACCTCTTACCGTATCTCCGCGGCTACCACTGGAGATAGTAACGCAATTGTTCAAGAGGATGGGGTACGACCCACTTGACTTACACAAACAATGCCCTGCCCTTACCTCTTATTTGCACAGTCCCCGGGTGATACTTGTCGAGGAACACGGTTTGTTGAAAGGCCTGGTAACCGTTAAAGATGTCCTGCGGTTCAACGCGACAGAGCAACCTATTGGGGATCTGCATTGGGATGCGGGTGAACTGGAGGCTGCTCTTGATGTTATGTGGATTTGGGCGGTAGGGATTGGGGAAACTTCCATGGAGTGGTTTAGACGCTTGATACGTCAGTGATGCTGCCGTGTTTTTTTTCTACTTGCTATCCTAATAGATGGTCCATGTACTAACTCGTGCTTCTCTAACTCTTATGTGAAATTGCATCGATTAGTGTGATAATTTGGCGGTATGTGCCAACATCTTCAAATGCATCGCTTGCACGGTTGGGACGGACTCGAGAACATGGTGGTCCTCCCAAAAGGAAGTGGTGAAGGCACATCTTCATTATACCGCCTAGGCATTCTCGATAAAATACTTCAAAGGCAGGAACGTACAACGACTAGCGACATGGGAGTTCTGGGCATAAATTTTCGACCCGAGATATGGTCCTGAACCTGAATCTGTGCAGAAAATTACAGGGTGAGGGCCTGGGCACCACTCTGCCGTCGAGTGAAGTTTTGAATAATAACTGGCATCTGGTTGGTTCTGTTCTAGCGATAGCAGAAACATGCTGAACATGAAGCGAGTGGTCGTGAACCTTACGAATAATGCCACGTACGAAGCACGAAAGATGAGGTACGAAACTAAGCTCCCGCGCAGACCTCATTCTATGTGTGGTCTCATAACTCGAATTTACGTGGGATAAGTATAACCGATCAATGAGCGCTTACTGGTTTACTAATGGGCTTGTGATTTTTGGCGAAGCTGCGATCGTGGCAATTCCGCGAATAACTGTAGAGCCTTGGAGATTTCCTACGCAGCAGGAAAGATTTATTGCCACTGAGTGCTGCTGTAGATTATGCGGGCGGGATAGAACGTTGTTAGTATGACAGGAACACGACACAATATGGTTTGGCTCGCCTCAGGGAAATTAGTGGTCTCAATGACTGCTAGATTTCCTGTGGTTATGCCGACTTGTGATTGATAATTACTTTGGTGCTTCTAACCAATGAAACTCTACGTCCGTCTTTAGTGATTCAATATCATATATGACATGAAACTCACATTCACAATATCCCCCAACTGATTTCCTCGACGAACATTCGACCCTGCCGCTGCTCAACTCCTGCGATGTCCGATCGGAAGGGTATAAGTTTTGCCCGACGAAAACTCTGAAAACGGCCAGTGTGCACGGTCTGATTTTCGGTGATCAAGGGGATGCCCCGCCGATACGGCTGGTCGAGATGGACTTGTTAAAGAATTTTTTTTTTGAATGCCGCCGCATCAGTCTTTATGTCCGTCGAGGCGGGGCCCTGTGGCAGACAAAACGTAGGGACTTTTAACATAACAAGAATCGAGATCTTTATTCTGTAAGCTTACTGTAACCCTGCAGGTTTGATGTCCGTTTGCCGTCATGGTCCTATTGAAGTATCTTATTTTAAGTATTATCCTGAACACACAGTTCATCAATTTAACCGAAAGTACATAAATTTTACCAAAGATACACAGACCTGATCTCGTTGGGAATGTTGGTGGCAGTGGAATAGTGTTGTGAGATTGCGAACTCTACTATTCGCGCGACCTCCCGTTAGATTGATGAGAGAGCGAAGCACTCGCATATCATGCAAACAGTGACTATGAAGCAGGTTACTCGTTCTGTTATCCGAGAGATAGGATCACATTTGAAATCGGCTGCAGCGGGACGACAAATGCACGATTCTTCATCGGTTCGCCTGCTTCCAGCGTAATCGCAAAATCTGGGGTGAGATCTAAAAGGGGAAGAGAATTGATGGTCTTCATGGCTGTGGCTCCTGGAGTTCTGGGCGCTCGCAGTAAATAGGGCTTCCAAAGTTCCCGCACCGTGGAAGATGTCGTTTGATATGTAAGTTCTAGTAGGTAAGGGCTGAATAGGGGATTGACATCACTAACGAATTGACGTACTTAGACTTAAAGCCACCGGTAATTGGGAAATGTCCGATAGACTAACGTACATGCCCTCTCGTGAGTGCGCAGCCTGTTCTGGTGGCAACAGCTAGGTAATAAAATCTGATCATGCTTTTTTGATCAACAACAAAAGGACATGCAACGTACAAAATCAACTCTATACTCTATGCGATGAACAATCAAGCTATCTCTGCAAATGCCAACGACTACATACGAATTTCGACAATTCGAGTAAAAAACTGAGGGTCCTGGGGGAAAGCGTTCGCGGAACAGAGAACTCGAGACACGCAAAAAAAAAGCCCAAAGAAAGCGAAGATAGGAAAGTCTGTGCTCGCGGAAAGATATCGTGCTATGGCAAATAAGATAAAGTCAGCGCCACCAGTGGACTGTGGGCAGCCCTCAGGAAATAAGTCAATACAGAAGGCCATGGCCACTTGGATCTGATCTCGACTCACCCAATACCCACGAATATGCACAACGCCCGTCTAACACAGGCGCACGTTTCGGACTGAGGCTTTGAGCCGAAATAATGGATGCTAAAACTACTGCGGCCTCCTAATCCTAAAATCGCGGACGTGGACGACAAGATTTGCGCGTCCTCCTTACCTCTGTTTTTTAAGTACTGGCAGTTCCATCGCAGGTTCCGGCTCTAGCTGGGATATGCGCACGGGAACAAATACAGGTGCGGGGGAACTGTGCTTGGACGTTTGAAGGTGATCAGATGCAAGATTGCGAAGTTGTTGACATGATACTGGTGACGGAGCATGGCCAAGTAGCGAGGTTATATCATGTGCTGGCATATAGCTGCGCCGAGAATGCGACAGGGTGTCAAGTTCGACACCAAGCACGGCATGAGTGTTTGGATTATCCATCTCTGGGGTGCGAGGTTGCAGACGAGGCTTGAGGAAATTTTCAAGCTCGAGTTCCTCATCTGTTGCGCTGATGCGAGAGCTGAGGGATTCTATGGAGATACGCGGAGGGAAAGCAGATAAAACAGTATCTCTTGCGGCGAGAAGTGTTGACGAGAGTGACGAAGTAGATGCAAATGATGAAGAGGAGATAATGTCAGTCTCCTGAGTACTAGAAGAGGTAGCTTGCAAAATAGCTCTTCGTTTTGCATGACGTGCACGATGCCGAGGTATGGTGAGTTGGGTACGGAGGTGGATTGGGTCTGATGGCCATAGCTGATTTGCATACCGGAGGGCTGAAAGCGACACGCCATATCGTAGAGCGATTGCGACAAGCGAGTCACCAGGGGAAACCTACGAGTGGAAATTCGTGACATATTACATGTTCAAGGGCGGGAGAAGGACAGACTGTATGCAAGATGTCATCGATGTCATGGTGGTTGGGGGCATCTAGACTATCTGTGGTATCGGCGGACGCCTCTGTGGCAGCAGGGCAGTCATGAGCATCCTCCGACAGTGCCGTTTGTATTTCACCGACATCTTTTGCGGTGCATGATGATACTGAAGCCCTGCACAACGGGTGAGAGCTCAACACTTCCGAATGACTGGCATCGTCCACATGAACGCGGCCGTTTGGGGTATTATTGCTACGAAGTCCATCGCGGTACGACAAAGTAGCGAAGCTATTGGTGTAGAGCTCATCCCGCTCGTCGAGCTCAAGCATGCGAGTTGAGCTTCGCGGCGGCGAGAATCTAGATGCTAACCCTAACCTTTACACAATTATTAATTTACATACATAAATATCGCATTTTCTCATACACTTGTTTTTTTTTCTATAAACAGCGGATCTCCTGGTAAGTTAAACAAACCTACATAATAAGCCTTACAGCATTTGTTGGTATGCACCTTGACCTGTCTCTTCCACGTCTTATATCTTACGCCCATACCTAGCTTGTCAATTTTGTGCCGGGCGCTCGCATCTCATCACTTTTGCAACTTACTAGATATATGACTCCTCCTGCCTGAAGTTCCTACATCTGTTTGATGTGACACCCGTGTCGTGTCTTCGATGGTCGTAAGTGCTACTATGAATGCCATGTCTGTGGTAATTGCAGGGGGTTATTACCTATATACTCACAATTCTGGGACATTGGCTCCGGGTCGCGGCTCAGAAGTTCAGCGCGTATTGGAAGATCGGTTCCGTTGTGAGGTAAAAATACTAATACGAAGGAACAATTATTTTCGGTTGGTCTGGCTAGGGGAGACAAGGTAAAAGGAAATATTTCACGAACAATACCTGCAATCACCTAGCGGGTTTCCTTGAATTCCGGGACTCAGGAGTGAACTGGCCGGCAGGGAAGCAGGCTCCAAAGGGGGTGCTGACTTCGCGACTACATCCTCATTCCAGGCTCTCACATGCTCGAATGCTGGCCCAATATATGGACGGGTTGTCTTGACTGTCTTTCATTCCTGTCCACTGACATTTCCAAGTCTGAGTCCATCATGCAGTCACTCAATGCTGCCATGCACTCCGTCGTGTTACGGCATCTAGATTGGGTTTGCTTGGTATATCTCGTCCGAGACCTGGATTAGCTCTGATGAGGTATATAAAGTAAACTTCACCGATGCAGTCTCGCTCACATCACGCATTCGAGGAGACGATCATCCAAGAGAGTCCTTCGGATTCAGGTCTGTCACAAACTTATTATACAGCCCGGACAGATGGGGAATGTATTCAATGCTCGTCATCTCACCATTGTCATAAGCGCAAAATGCATTCTGAACTGCTCTGACCGAGATCGTTCAACTCATCTTGTGGCTCATCGTGCTTGCTTGCATCATGATCATGGATCAAACTGTGATAATTGTGCACTTATCGAGGTGCTAACACGAGAGATGTTCCATCGATAGAGGATTCAAGGGGGAACTGTTATCCAGATTTTTAGGAACCATACTTTATACCGTCTCCATATTAAACGGTGTAGTGGCTGTTAAGTTTTTCACGGAGTGAGTAGCTGAATTGTTCGTTAGGAATTTATCTCGCCGCCAAGCCTCTGACGTAGCGAATGAGAACGCATTGGGAACGCTGACTCTTAACCCTAACCTCACATGACCTGAACGGGACACCTGATCTTGTAAGTTCGATTTTCTCATGACAAGTTGATTCAGACTGAAGACAAGATCTCCACAGTGTCCAGCTCTATCGCAGTAAATATTGTTGTCTGATTGATTGGCTCCTTTTTGCAGATGCCGCATGCCGGTGCATCTTTGGTTCCAGGCTCCATCAAGACTAAGTCTGAATTCTGGGCCCATGTGCATGATCAGCTAGAAATTTTGGTGGGAGGCCAACGACATTGGGTGAGCTTCGATTCCATATTGAATTCACCCGAGCCATTAAAATCACTTCATTTACATACAGGTCTCGAATTTGTCCAATGCCGCTTCGCTTATTTACAACTCCTTGCAAGCTTTTCCCAGCAATTTCGGGGATGGGGAGCGTTCGGTCAACTGGTGTGGTGAGTCTTCCCTTTTTCACCGCCAGTCTCGACACCCTGGTCGACGAAGGAAGATCGCCCAGCCCCTCCTTTTTGAGATGATGTGTCTTACTGACCGTGGAATGCAATTCTCACAGGTTTCTACCTCATCTCTTCCCTTTTCCCTCAGCCCCAATTCACTGATGCGTCGATGGACCCCAAATCTCAAATGCATGCTTCCACTAATATGCTTTTGGGACCCTTCTCCGGCAGGCCTGCCTGTCAATGGATCGAGGTCTCCCCTCGACCTCGAGGCGTGTGTGGAGATGCATTTGTTAAGCGCAGTACCGTTCTTGTTCCAGACGTCTCGGCCTACCGTGGGCATATTGCCTGTGACGGCGATACAAAAAGCGAGATCGTGTGTCCCCTCATTCTTCGGAAAGGGGGTGAAGATATTATGCTGGGTGTTCTGGATCTTGATTGCCTTGCGATTGGGGGGTTTGATGCAGATGATCAGGTCGGATTAGAAAGAATTGCGGCACTCATCATCAGATCTTGTGACTGGTAGTGATACTAATACAGCAAATGAATCGATGATTTATGACTACGGTGACTATGAGCCTGCAATAGACTCCTGCTCTTTCTTCCATGCAAGAAACTCCTCGTGCAATTTCTTCTGCGCATCCCAATCCCTCCGTGCCCTCTTTTGCTGGTTTTTACTAGGTTCTTCCCCGCTTGCAGTGGCAGTAGGAAGGCCGTATTCATCCCACCGGATATACGTCCCCTCGGGTACGTTGGGAGGCCGGAACATCTCTTCGGGAGGAACTCGCCCTTTCTCCATCTTTGCGAGACGCTTCTGTCGTACCTCCTCAGCTGCAGCCGCCTTTTTGGCTGCTTGAGCATCTAATTTCAGCCGCTTTTCTTCCCGTGCCTTGATGAGCTCCGCCGGTGATACGAGCTTGACAAGAGCTTTGCCATCTATAGGAGACAGAGTCAGTTTGAAGGAAAGTGAGGCATATCTGCTCCAGATCACCTTCTTGATCATCGAGCGCAACGCCCAAGGACACAAGATCATCATCTCGCAGTTTATCACAGAGCTTGAGTATTTCCTTCAAAGCATTATCGTTTTTAGCAATAGCCAGTTGACGAACGCCGTCTCTGAATGAAGATAGGGCGCGAAGGTATGGCATCAGCGTTTCTTCTCGCTAAGCTGTAAGATCAATATCAAATAGCATAGAAAGTATGCAATAAATATCTCACGTTCACGCCACCGGCGCCCTCGTCTTCTTGCCCCCAGCCGATCTCTGACGCCTGCCCTTCGCCTAACCCAAACATGCGGAGCATGTCGCCAATCCATGTCGCGGATTGCTTTACCACACAGACATTGGCCTTCCTTCCTGGGCTGTTAATGTAGATGTTGATACGCGAAACTAGGTCACGTATAACTTTGAGCGCTTCAGGTGTATTAAAGGAGTCGCAAAGAGCCGCGCGGAAGGCCGTCTTGCTGTCGTACAAACTGGCAGGGCGTCAGGGTGTGGTACTCGAAAGATATTGCCTGTTTAACCTTTTCATGAGTTCTCGCTCAGCGTCATTGTAGTGGTGCTCTCCATCTGACTGGTCCTCGTGTGCCCGTGCTTGACTTATGATCGCCCTGACATTTGTGAAAAAATTCTGTATAGTTTCTCAAAATATAGCGGATATTAAAATACGGAGGACTTGCGTTGAATGTAACCTCAAGGGACTTAACTTCGCCCGTCATCATCGATTCAGAAAAATCGATCTTCGTATTCCATAGCTGCGTTAGGAACGCAAGCCGCAACTGCCGAGCTGTGAACCTTTGAAGTATCTCCTGTGTGACCGGCCGCATGAGTGGTGCGGAGAATAGATCGGAAACCCGAAGTACCCACGTCAATAGTGATGAAATTTTTCAGCGATTTACTCATTTTGAGGCCTTCGATGTGAAGGTGACCGGTATGGATAAAGTAGTTGACCCATGCACCGCATTCATGGTAAGCCTATCACCACCTTTGCTTAGGAACGTCCCTGGAAAGTACTGCAGCGAACTGACCTCAGATTGGGCCATTTCGTTGTCGTGGTGCGGGAATGCAAGGTCTATACCACCAGAATGGATGTCCATGCGTTCCCCAAAAATGGCACTCGCCATCACAGAGCACTCAATATGCCAGCCTGGGCGACCTGGACCCCAAGGTGATGGCCACGAAGGTTCTCCAGGCTTCGATGCCTTCCAAAGCGCGAAATCGGAGGCAGATCGTCGTCCTGAGGTGGATGAGAGCACGCCTGATGTCCAAAATGGCCAACGTTACTGATGGAACGCCCACGACAAAATCAACACACCTTCACCTTCAGCCAGTAACTCTCTGTTCCCTTTACTCCAGGGTTCCAACTTTGCATAATCGTGCCGATCAGATGAATCAAATGCACCTGTATCAAAGTAGACACTGCTTTCGAACTCATAGCCATAACCGTTCTTGATGATACCCTGAACGAATTCGACCACTTCCGGAACGTATTCTGTGACGCGGGTAACGGTATCTGGGTAACGGACACGAAGCCGCTCCATGTCTTTGAAAAATTGACCTTCCCAGTATGCTGCAAGAGACCGGAACACAGACTGGTCCGTAACAGTATCTTTGAGCTGTGCACATGAAATAATCAAACTACCAGAAAGAAAGGATATTAAGAGAAACTAACTTTCTCGTCGAGAGCGGAGGCGAGAATATCACGGGACTCATTAACAAGTCTAAGCGCTGTGTCACCGCTACTCTGATTGGCAGATAGTGCATGCCTTGCAGCTTCAATAGCAACAAGGGTCTGATTCTACATTGCCAGATCTTGATTATATACCAGGAAAAGCACAAGAGATCACCTACAGCGGCTGTAAAATGCATGTCGAACTTCTCGTCTCTCTTTAGGCATTCGAGTTTGCGGCTCTGATCCCGCGCAAACCCAACAATTCGTGGCCATCGCACCTCTTCTTCCCCTCGTGAAGGTTTCTCTTTGTCTGGCAGGCCCTTGGAGACGTTCTCCCTGACATAGCTTCCCCATGCTTCACTGACTTGCGACAGTAGATCGGCTGAAAGCGTGGTTGCAGAGTTTCTAAATTGTGAAAAGAGATAATTTTGACGCGCTCTAACGATGATCTTCAAAATGTGTAAGACGTCGTTTCGATCATACGGGTAGGTGATCACGCACCTTATCGTCTATGTCGGTAACATTCATAACAAAGTGCACATCATAGCCAAAGTAATCTGACATTATTCTTCGCAAAATGTCTTGTGTGACATAATTCCTGGAACAACGTCAAAATTGCAGAATATTCACTAGGGAGTAAATCCTGACCTCGCGTGGCCCATGTGGGAGGCATCGTAGACTGTGGGACCGCAGTTATACCATTTGACATGGAAACCATCGATAGGTATAAATTCCGTCTATCAGCAGTCAGCAGATCGATCTAACACCCTGGTTCAGATACGCACTTTGGTTTTGGTTAACGAATTGAAGATCTTAAGAACAGGTTGGTCAATTTGATGAGGTAGGTGCCATGCCGGTTGCCGAACAGCCATCGCTGCGTCCTTTAATGTATTCACTGATCTCCAGTGTGGTATAGGTGCTCGATAGCCAGAACGAAGAATAATATTGACTGAAGTTCTGATCATGTCATGACTAGCTACAAAGCTGGAGTCACAGACAGTGTGCTTACGTAATAAGCGCCAGAAAACTCGTAGTCAGCCAATTGTGAAACGTTCAACTTGAAGTCCGAGTCTAGGCTAGTCTAAAGCTGACCCAAAGTTCCATTTCATGGTCTAGGTTTTCGGCCCTTTCTCGTGTCCAAAGACTTCCAGCTTCATGCCAGCATCTCAATCTTTCACCACGCTAACAGCGAGACCGAACCCTTGATAGGCTCCAAAGGGCGCTTGTCCCGCTTTCTTTCGCTAACGTAGGATGTGGCCGCCGATCGGAGGTACTTCATGTAACACTGAGTATTGATCTCTTTCATCCCCATTGTCAAGTGATGGACTTCGTCCACTGAAAGGAAACTCTGAGGCCCTCTGAAGTTTATGAGGGAAAAGACTAGCGGGCTCTCACGCAGCGGCGATCCCTATAAACAACGTTCTGACTCCTAAATTCGGCTTCATGATGACAGGTCCTAAGTACCTTCGTATTCGTCTACCGGTGCAATCCGGCATTGTTCTCACAGCATCCTTAGATTTCACATGAAATTCTACACGTTCTGTCGACGTGGAGATGCAGTGGTCCTACCCTGGTGCTAGCGGACCGAAGCAACGAAGATCGCCCAAGTTAGCTGAGCGGCAAATACATTCTCCATGGATGAGCAGTTTTTTTTTTGAATTTAATGAAGTTGACTTAACTTTAGTCTTTAGTGATAATCATACGCGCTGTCGGAAATTATAGTTCCATACGTTTCGCTCCCCGTTGGTCGGAGTCTGATCATACAAAATGCAATATATGCATTCCATGTTTCAGCTCAAGGTTTGCCAAGCAGATGAGTCGTTCGTGCTGTCGTAAATGACAGTTTCGTGCTACTCCCCATTCCTCGGAATATTTAGGTCCGATCCAGTGAATATGCAATGCTCCAATTGTTTCAAGCTCAAGGTTTGCTAGACAGGTGAACACTTTCGCTATCCATCGAAGCTCTCGGACCATAAGCTCTTGACTTAACCACAACTGGTTTGTGATTGTCCATTCTTGATGAACAAACCAGGTTCTCACTACTTTGCCAAAGAAGGATTAAGAAGGGTCTTTCGCAATCTATATACCTTTCTAGGGTTTAGTCTGAGGGTGGCTCCGACGGACGAGGGCTACTCTTAGACTTTTGGTCTAGCACAGCAAGCTCATCATCATATCAGACGAACATCACCGGTCACCAGCCGAGCATCAGAAAGTGAAATATTGCGATGGTCTTAACGCCCTTTCAGTGTGAAGCGATGCAAGTATGACACTTTCTCGCAGACTCATCAGAAAATTGGCGGACCGTGCCACGGGGAATCACAGTGCATGAGAATCTTCAGTTTTGCGGCATTGTCGAGGTATGATTGCGCTTTCTTTCCACCCTGTCGCCGATAACGTACCTTGCAATTTAAATGAGCACTTCACTGTGCAGAATTGTGCTTGTACCTTCTTTTCACATACTTACCGCCGATAATTCCAGCGATGGATGCTTATACCAAGAATATTTGATTGGCCGCGAAGCCAGAGCGCTTTGCGCTTTTCGGTTGTCAAAGAATACATAGTGGTTCCTATTTTCTGTTCGTATCCATACAGTGCCCCACCGGAGATGGAATAAGATCTAAAACTCTATTTTACTACTATACCCGCTCTCTCCCTTAAATTTGACCATGAAAAGGCCATGACCTAGGCGGTTTCCCATCGGGCTGCAACCGCCCAACCGCCCGCGCCGTCAGCCTATCAGCCGTTTTACATCAGAACGAGAGTTAAGGTTAGTATATCATGATGTTCTCGTCAAACGCTTTTGTTCCTCGTTATTTAAAGAGCTTTCCTATTCCATTTAATTATTTAGTCTCAGAGCGCCCATCCGAACTGAGCTGATCACATCAGGTGCTGTGCCAAGTCCACCATTTATCATCCCCAGTCAAAGCCATCACTAGCTGTGCGAGACATTGCCACCGCCCACCTACTTCCTCTCACCCTCCCTCATCATACTCGACATGCAACAGCAGCCCACTTGCACTAGCCTACGTGTGAGGTGAGTTTTTATCCTGTTCCTTGTGATGCTATGACTCATGGCTAGTAAGATCTCCACAAGATGCTCAGATCATCTTTCACGCCGTAGCACTTGGGGTCTTGCCCATGGTCACCCGGCGTCTAGACACGGAGGAACGGCGTTCGATAACTTCGGGTTGTGTTTTCGTATGGGAGGAGCGAGGACCAAGCCCGGAGGCTACCGGGGTGAGATTCCATTGATGTCTGCATTTCATACCACGCGCTAATACAACCACAGCTTGGGATTGAACGATGGACTGATGGCAAAAGGTGCGATTTACGACGGATATGTTGATTATGTGAAACGACTAACACTGGTATGAAGGTGGGGTCCAAGCCGGGTCCGCGACGTAAGTTTATTCTTGCCTTACGTCGTCCCGTCATGACTGAAGGGTTTTCAGGAATTTCTTTTCTATCAAGAAAAAGACCCTGAACCAGTCGATATCGACCCAAACTCAGATTCTGATACCACGTCTGTCCGTTTTTCCCTTGTTTCCATCTGTCTGACATCTCAGCGACAGGATCGGATCAAGTCCCTTGGCGCAACCTGGCGTGCCCCACGGATCCGTGCGCGTCAGTTTAGTAAAGCAAACGTATTCCGTCTTCGTTGAGACCCCGACGAGGGGACGCAAGAAATGGCATCTCAGTATGTGGCGCTGTACTAACCATTCAAGTAGCCGAAACTTAACTTTTGCGTTTACTCAGTCGCCTATTTCACTCACGACAGTCTCGATTATCTCCGAACTGTGTCTGACCTTCCCGACCTTGCTCGTATCGTTGTACCTCCAGGGAACTATAGAAGCGCTCGGCACAATACCAGCAAGCACAGTCGTGCTCAGCGAGAAGAGCGACCACACCCCTTCACCCCTCAATATTTTCCGTACCCCTCCCCTTCTCGGCCAGTGGCAGTGGTCCAGTCTTCCAATGACGGCACACAATTGAGTGACCACTCAGGGCGTGCACCGCCTCGAGATGGCCAAGCGCTTGCACCCCTCACGTACCTACAAAACCTAGCTCCGCCGCGAAGGCACCCACTGGATGAGGAAGCTCTGATGGCTTTTTATCCTCGCTTGTGTTGAACTTCCTATTGTGTTTTCTTCGCACTGTTTTCTGTGGACTGTAGAATTAATGACCCCTGGACCTGCAAATGGTGTGATGTTGTTTTACCATACGTTATTTTCTTGATTTGCAATCTGCAGCAGCCTATCAGACCAATCTCGTGTTGTGTGTACTTACTTGCCTGGGTTACCTACATTTGGGTTTGCGAATAATTTGGTCCTATCGATCCCCTGAATTGATCCCTAGTTGAGCTTGACAACCACACGAATTGGGCAACTGTACTTTGTGTGACGCGGTATACAATCGCACGGTTTTCAGTGGACGGTCGGGAAAACCCAATGCGCAGCAGTGCACAGCTAATATCCACCTGTTCTTACGAAGGTACCATGTGCATATAACCCAAGTATATATCTCTGACACTTTTCTTTCAAATGATGAGCGCTGATGAACACTACGCCGGGCCACAATGTAAAGACCGCAGTCACTGATATTATGATACTGCTCCACAACGCCACTGTCCCCGCATTATCATCTTATACAGTGATAGGGTATATTCCTGTGTTCGGCTGTGTTAATCAAGGCTCCAGTACGTTCTAGAACGTCGCAAGTAAGTGCTGTTGGCTGTAATGGCTAGACTTGGTGCTTCAAATTCAATAGCTGGTGGAGTTGTGATACCGTTCGCTAGGAAGAGCCGACTCTACTGGCAAATCATGCGCTGCGTGTGGCATCAGGGAACCTTTCCACAAACAGCACCATGGCATCTCATCGATTCGCCCTTACCGGTTCCGACCGGTTCTCATCGTTGTTTTGTCCTATCACAAAAACTGAATTCAATCGATTCAGGGAACTCTGACGTGGCCATCATATGAGCCCAGAATGACATATGCAATAGTCCCAGCAAGAATGGCATACGAAGATAACGACCAAACATGCATCGTGAAAGAAGAACAAAAGCGAGTGCCGGTATTGGGTAAGACGGGGTTCTTGGTGGGCATGATACCCTGCGGTAGATCGGAATATCATGAGAACATGGCCTATTACAAGCCTCGGTCCAAGAATGCACCCGTAAACTGGCGATGAACGGAGTGAACCTTGAAAGATGCTCCAGAACATAGGCTATTGAACGTGGATCTTGATGTATGACATCCGTATTACATATAAAAGACTATAGGTTTTGGCAGGTATGAAAGACAACCAATCAGACGGAAGATCTGGCCTGGGCACTGACCGCGCCGTGTGAGCGCATCTTAAGAATCTGCATGATATCGTCGCGTTAATGATGGTCATGATAAGTCTGTGGGATTGAAAATATATTTAAAATTGGGCGCGATAAGACAGCGGTGAATGACATTCGAAAGGATAGTCATGATTAGGAATTAGTATGATTAGACGTTTTGCCAGTTGGGAACTCGAGACGGAACCGGCATCTTGTTGAACAAGTGTGGTTCAGCGGGTTGCTTCGACCTGAAGTGGATTCGAACACGTGGTCATATAGATTTTCCCCCTCGAAGCTTGAAAGCTTGACGTCTTATTCAACGAGTTGAGGAGCTGGAGCGGAGGGCGGGTTTCATAGACCCTGGATGGACATCTTATAATTATGTAAGGTTGTTAGTATATTTATTGAACGGGTTTGAATATTTGAATCTGAGCCAGACTGCCGCGGGGAACTGTTTTTATTTATGAGATATCAATTCAAAGAAGTTCCGGGATTTACCGAAACCCAAGGAAACAGGGAGGGGGGTGCGTTTTGATCGCGGTTAGGAATATGGGGGACTTGAAAGAAATTGAGTTGTAAAGTGATAGAGTTTCGCGCTGTAATCGAGATTGGCGACAAGCCTTTTGGGTCGTTGCCACCAATAAGATTCATCAGGTAGTTTCCTAAATTGGCCCAAATTAGAGCAACTGACTATGAACGGAAGTCAGCGGATACCCCTGGTACAGAAAATAGTTTAATTAATTACCAAAGCCATCTTCTGCTCCCCAGATCTAGTAGCCAATATATACCATACCCATTCTATTTGCCTTCTCCGTCTGTTTCCTTGTCCCCGTTTCACATCACACATGCAGCAACGACCCACCTGCACCAATGTTCGCATACGTTCCACTCGTGATGCTCATAAAATATTCTATGCAGTACAGCTGCGTATGCTCCCAATGATAACAAGGCGCCTTGACGCCGACGAACGTCTCGCCCTATGTTCTGGTTGTATCTATGCATGGGAAGAAAGAGGTCCACATACTGAAATCACAGGATTGGGTATCGAGCGTTTCACCGAGGGACGTCGATGGAGTCCCTCGCGCGTTAGAGACGTTTGTTCTCCTAAAATATATCCTGTGACTCTGCTAATCTCCCTTCAAGGAATTTCTCTTCTACTATGAGAAGTATACTCCACCAGCAGACGCCGGTCATTCTGGGTATGTTCCCGCGCTCAAAAAATAATTGCTGGATTCACTGTTTTACTAGGTCTTCTGAAAAGCAGCCCCCTCGAGATTGGGATCCGCTGGTAAAGCAAACTTATTCAGTTTGGGTTGAAACGGATAAAGGTCGCCGCAAGTGGCACTTGAGTAAGGACATGTGACATTCTAAATTATGGTCCTTACGAAAGTTATTTGTAGCCGCATATTTCACGCAGGCCACAGTCGATGAGCTAGGCACCATAGACAACATACCGGGTGTCGCTGACCTCGTGGTGCCAGAAGGAACCTTCCAAAGCACCCGAGTTGGCAAAACCCGCAAGGGGGAAGACAGTCGCTCAAGATCTGATGTTTTAAAGTCAACGAATTCTACTGTAACCCGGACGTACGCTCCGTTCCCTGCATATTCGAGTCAGCCTTCCCACTACCCTAATTCACCACAATCACCGTATGCTCAGTCAGATGACCCATACCGCTCAGGTTTGGGTCAGCCTTCACAGCAGCTTCGTCCGCCGACATCTGAAATCCCTCAGTATTCGGTACCCCCACCACCCCCACCACCTTCTCTCCCTCCTCTTCGTCCTTCGTATGAAGATGACTACAAATTCCGTCGTCCCTCTCTCCCTACTATACCCCCGCCAGAGCATAGCTCAGCGTTTTATGGTCGCAGAAGCTCTGCCGATTACTCTGTGTCTGGAACCATCCCTCCTTTGGCTAGAACTCGTACAGATACATCATTGAAACCCTTTGCTGAATATCATGCCTCCAATGATCGCGGGTCTTCCCCCGCATTTGGAGCCAGTATGAATCATCCTCCTGCTTCGGGCAGCTCAAGTGGTGCACATCGGGCGTCTGAGGACCCCTATTCCTCCCGACCTCCTTTCCCGTGTTCGTTTAACGTCCACCCATCACGCTCGCCGCCATCGTCTCCATCTTGTCGCATGCGACCCCCATCCACTGTTGGCAGTTTCCAGCCTATCTCCCGAGCGTCAGATGATGATGGCAGAGAACCGAGCCAGAACGCATTTTTGCTTGATAACCCAGCCAGCTTCCCTTCCCCTCATAATACACCACACATTTCGCTTCCCCCTCCCGCACAGCTCTTCCGGTCAGAGCCTCCCCCACAATATGAAGTATCGTCTTCTGCGGATTCGAGCAGCATTGGACCGCAGCGTGTTGGCCTGGCGCCCTTGCATTCCTTGCAGCGCAGTCACCCCTACAAACGTGATCCTGTAGACGACAGAGCCCTTCGGCTATTAGGGCCACGTTCCGGGTGACTATTCGCTGGTTCCCTCCCATCAGGTGTTCAGTGACATACACCACTGTCCGCTTGCGTCCGAATCATTCTTGCGTAAGACGCACATCTGCGGACCCGCGGGAAGAGATATGTGTGTACCTCTGATTAGGCGTGCTTGGCTTTTTACCGAACAAGCGTCGTTCTTCCATGCGGTTTCTAACAATCAAAGATTCTTCACTTCTTCGCTTATGGTATATCATATATCCATAACCATTCCTCGGTACATACTTGGTCTCGCGCTGCAATTGCGCTGTCAAATACAAGTTCGCAACGAATACGATACATGCACGATATGCATATATATATTGTACCTTTGGCTATTTGAGCACGCTATCACGGATGTTTTTTTGATCTCAATCTCGGTCTTGGTGTGCATATCTGACCATGTTCAGTTATATTAATATCCTGGCGTGTGTGTAAAATCAACGTCAAGCCGTAATATTGTATGGTAAAAAGTTCAAAGTGGATGGCATTATGACGTATGGTAGGGGCTAGGGCGAACCTGCAGCTGATATGCAAGCGAATATATATATAGAATGGCTTGAGAATGGCGGCCTTGTATGTACTCACTCCAGACAGGGATGCGTCGATGAAAATATAGATAAGACTCGGTGAAAATAATCTCTTTTCTTGCAAACGGGATGTCGCAATACTGACGGGGTTATACGTCGGATAATCCGTTCGGCTCAACGGCAAATTTGATTCCGTGTTCACGGGGTTTTGCCACAGAAGGATACCAGAACGATTGAAGGCGAACCGAGACAGCGGAAAGTTTTCTACAGCCTGGTGGGACCCCTTACCATGAACTTTGTATAGTTCCGCCTTCTTGGTTTTTTGAACTTACAGGTAAGTTCCCATGGCACCAATCGGTCAGGTTCAGACTGCTTTGGTTAAAACGATGAAATTCACGATGTCTGATAGAATACACTGGGATTAAATGACATGAGGACGAAGCTTATGTCCAAGATAGCTGCTGAGGAGAGCAATGACGGACGAGATTTGACAGGTGCCTAGTAGCAAAGCTAGGGTCGTGACTACCACTCAAATTCACTGCGCGGTGTCAGTGCCAACTAATCAACGACATTAGGATCACGCACCCCGTGCATTTGGCGAATAGGTAATCCTTCCCGTTGACATGGATCATGCCGTCCTTGAGGAGGCATTTCCATTTATTTTTGACGCGGCCGACCTGAGCGACAAAAAATGAGCCCAGAAATCTGGGACATAGATGCCAGAGCTGCCCACCTTATCATATGTGCAGAACACAATATCGGTCTCGCCTTGTCCACCTTCTTCAGCGTCTTCTTCGCCCTCGGTATCCGAGTCGTCGAGGTCGCTGTTGATTGCCTCGGCATCCTCTGTGTGCATCGTCGATGACGATTGCGATGGTTGAGGAAGCGAAGGATGAGATGCACGAGGCGCAAATGGCTGGCTAGGCGGAGGGGAAGGTGAGTCTGATTCAGATGACGAAGGTCCATCAACCTGAGGGATCTTCTGTCCTGGTGCCCTAGCTTGAGGCGCAGGCGGACTGGCGGCGGTGGGGGGAGCACTTGGCGGCTGAGGGGAATGTTGAGGAGCTTTAGATGGTGGCTGCGGAGCCGGGGGCGCGTATGGCCTAGACATGGTAGGTGGGCGTTGTAAGTGCCCTGGGTGAGGGGGGAACGACAAGACACCTTGCTGTCCTCCAGGGAAGCCTGGTGTTTTGAGACCGTTCAATTGAGGCCCAGGGAGTGGTGGTAGAGCGTATGGCATGCCCGGAGGAGCACTTAGGACGTAACGGTTATCCACCGGTTCTGTCTTGACTTGAGGACCTTGGGGTTGCGCGACAGGAGGTGGTGGTGGAGCATATGCGTGCGGAGGCGGGTAGTGCGGGTGATGTGGAACCATCATAGGATGTGGAGGGTACATATGATGGTGCTGTGGAGGCGGAGGCGGCTGTGGTTCAAACTCTGCAACATGCGATGCAATAACTTTGCTTTCCCATTTCTGCAAGAGCATTCACATCACCGAAATTCCTAAACTATGATATGAACGGGAATGATAAGAAGCATATGCTCACATGTTGCAACTCTGCAAGAACTTCTTCGCTGACGCCGTACTCGTCGAACTCGGGCTTAATGGCGGAAATGACTTCGTCTATGACCGCGCGGTAGATGCCAGGCTCAAAAAATGTCTCTGTTACCAGACTGAACTACTACGGACAAGTTCAGGTGAGCAGCTCACCACTATCTTATTCGACATTGTGGATGTCGCCAGCGACGATTGACACAGCGAGCTTAGGATGGGGTCGTGGTGGGGGAATGAAGGAATCCTTTTATACTTCAATGGCCTGCGAGAGAGGCAGGTAAATTCAAACTCAGCTGGACTTCATTCCGGCGTTCCCACGCACGGGCCAACAGTTACAGTGATAGTAGTACTAGTAGTACTGGCATGGCTAGCGCATAAAACATACAGCTATGAATTCCAGGTACTTATAAAACAAAACGCAAGCTTTTTCAGAACAAGCTGTAAACGACGGACGTGTGACTTGAAAGAAAGTGGTATAGCGTAAGCACCGTAAATGGAAAGTCAGGACTTTGACATATACCACTCCGCAACTTGATCGAAGCCTTTGTGAACATGGGTCGTCAACTTCGCAGTGCTCTGTCTTGTCTGCTGTTAGTTAGTTTATCGCAGGCAGCCGACGTATATCTCAGCCCATCTCAACCATTTCCATCCCGGCTTTCCCTACAGCATGCTGGTTTCGTCTTGTCGCAACATCTGGGTCTCGAGCCAATCGAGAATTTCCAGAATTATGGCGAACTGCTAAGAGAGCACGAGTTTGTCGCACAAGGGACTTCAAACGCGTTGTTTCTACTAGTAGACGATGTTAGTTTACAAGGTTTGTTTCCCCACTTCAGGAGCAAGTGCAGTGACAATTGACAAGTCGTACTTCAGATATCATTCCTTCTCTCATGAGCCGCTCGTTCTCGATTGTAGGGGCACCCACTAGTTCCCTTACTTCTTTTGTGTCCTCATATCTGCAACGCGCTGCTCATGCATACTCCCTCGTCTACTCTGATCTCGTTATTCCCCCAGAAGGCATTCCTCGGACTCTTGACATCTTTTCTGCCCCAACACCCGCAAACGAAGCTTTCCTTGCAGAAATCTCAACACTTACCAAATTCGTCGAGCCAACCGCAGATATTTACGATGACAAGTTCGCGTCTTTGGAGTTAACAGGACTGTCCCAACTCGCAGCTACACACGGTCGTTCAAGCGACCAGTACCAGCTTGCAGCAAGAACAGTCCGAGCCGTTCTTGAAGCCAGTACTGCTGATGCAAAGACCCGCGTCGCCGTCTTGTCTTACACTCCATCTCTTATATCGGACAAACGACAACCGCAGCCACCGCAGCAGTCACCCCTCTCAGCACTGCTCCCACCCGCAGGACCGCCAATTCGTCGTCTGGCCTCTTGCCTCACGAGTGCTGAGGCCTGTTCCAACGCGACCAATTCTTGTTCCGGTCACGGGCAGTGCGTGAGCACCCTCAGTGCTGAACAGGAATGTTTCGCTTGCGCTTGCTCTGACACCAAGTCTGATTCTGGGAAGACGGAAAGCTGGGTAGGCGATATGTGTCAGCGCAAGGACGTCAGTAGGTAAGTAGTCGCATTATTTCTCTCGGTTTCGTTCGTTGACTGGGTTCGTACCAGCACCTTTGTGTTGATCGCAGGGACAGTGATCACACTTATCCTCTTGATGGGAGGCTCTGTCTCGTTGCTTTACTCCATCGGTGGCGATGAGCTTCCTAGCATCCTAACAGGTGGTGTGGCAAGTGGATTGAGGAGAGAATGAGAGGGCGCCAATACATTGCATAGCGGGCATGGCTAGTAATTCTTGTCGTCAAATGCAGATTTCCTTCGTGATGCATGATACTTTGATACTACTCGACTTGGCAGCGCTTATGGTACTATTCTTCCAGAGTGACGTTTGATATTGTGGACGACTTTCACAAGTCTGACACAGCTTGTTGGGTATGAAGACTTCTTGCAACATAATTGTGACGATTCACTTAGCATATCGTACAAATCACTCGTACATAATTTCAAGTCACAAGTTATGAATCGTCTTGAGCGTAGCGCGACGTCGAAAGCCGCACTGCCTACCCAGATATAAACTGTACTACTCATCGTCCAACGCTCTGGGCGCACCAGATACTCAATTCTCGTGCCATCGTGCTTATACAACGGCATACACGAAGTAACCATCTCGTTGACTCGGATCGGTCCATCAAAATACTGCTCGAAATATCTAGTGACTCCTGTTCGCCCATGTTTCGTGTACTCGGACCGTGCTTGACATACTGGACGCCATCTATACTAGCGAGATTTTCGAGCGTAAGCAAAAATAATCAATGTACAGGGACATCACGGACCTCAGATGAAGAGTACATATCGCACTGTCACGGTCTTCTTGTGTACTCTGAAAAGATGTCCAGTGAGAAAATTTCATTTTGTGACGATGCGCGTCGCATCAAGATTCACGAACGTGCCCTTCGTCACGAGCTTCGGTGTTGTTTGATTCTATTCAATCAGTCGATTGCCCATAGTCTGCGCTGGACGAGAAGGACGTATCCTGGATCTCCTGTCTCACGTAGGAGCATGTATGCTTCCTGAACATGCGTAGACGCTTGTGAAGATGGATGACGACGAGTAGACAGTGCCTCGCGTTGAACCAAAGAGTAAGCACGAGAGCGTCATCGCACACCAATAACTCTACATGAAGGAAGAACAAAGTAATACGTCCCCAGTTTCGCAGGCCATTCTTCCGCAAGATTGGCATTTGTATGACTGACACAGATTTACCAAAAGCGCTCGAGAAGAGCACGATGTCCAGGCTTTCCCCGACGAATTGTTACCCCACACGACATCCCTGTACGCGTGCGATTTGCGGGCTTCATCTCTCCTTGGGACCCATATGAGAACCTGCCTCGCGAGTACGCAAGGATATTTAAGGTCTAGGGCTTGAAGCGTGCCAAGGGAAATGTGACGAGTTGCAGGGCGATGGTATCGAGGTCTGAAATTCGCTGCCCTTGTCGTGGTAATCGCTAAAGCAAGCCTGGCACGGGTGTAACAATATTTATCGAGGATGTCCCCAACAAAACCAGCATGTCCGCCGGGGCTCCGCTTTCCCTATACGGATTGCTGAAACATAAGCACATGGAAACATTCCCCTACTTTGTCGTGCAGCAGAACAAGGAATGCAAAGGTTCTACCAAAAGTTAGTCGTCCATCGCTTCTTTGCTACTCGGTCCCAAAACGCCCGTGGAGGCGGAAAAGGCGCAAACAACGTCCACAAATTCGAAACGTTTTTATCGCATCGCATCACGATCATTCCTCCCTGTCCTGATATTCGTGTTCCTCATTTTCATCTTCAGGAACGCGCTTGATGAGCTTCAGCGCTGCGCCCTTCTTCGCGTTCGATACCCGATGCCATGAGGGGCACTCGCCGTCTCCTCCGTCAGCCACGTGTGTCCGTCGTTCTCCATATCATCTGTAACGTTCCTGATAACCAACGAAGAGGCGGGTTCAGTGGGGGGGGGGGATACATAGAACATCAAACACCAAACCCATCCGCTCGCCCACACTGGGTCATACACGCATACCTTAATTCCGATAGTTAATAACCCACATGATGAGGCATATGCATGAGTCATTCGGGGCTCAGCCCCCCCCCGTACACAGATCGAACACACGGAGCTGGGCAGGCTCGAAGTATTGTATGAAGGAGAGTACTGCAAGCCTGGACTTCGCTTCAGAGTTCTCGGGGACATGGGTGGGCTGTAGGGTCTTGCGATAGTTGGAGAGAGTAGTAGTGTGTGGTCTGCGGCGCGGGCTGTGTTGAGGGCGGCGAGCGGGCGAGCGATAGGTATGGGGAGGAATTGGAGAGCGTTTTTGAAGCGGGCTGTCTTGTGTTGCACGTGGTTAGCTTAGCGTTAGATGTGAATGAAAGAACGAGATTCATAGTCCACGATTGCATTGATGTTAGGTATCTCTTCGTCTAATTTCCGCAGGGTTTGGATGCATCTTCAGGTGTTGATGTCCTCTAAAAGGGGGATAACGGTGACGATGCGTAGTACGCTGCCAGAGCCATTGAAGATGCGGGTTGTGGAGACAAGGGAGGTGCCTTGGGCAGCCTAAGCTGACTTATACCCGCTGAAAGCAGGTTGTGAGACGGTGTTCACTGCCGAGGACTTGTGCTCTGGCAAGCAGTGCAACCTGTCAGAAGTCGAAATGAGTATGGAAGGACCATTAGATTAGGAATGATGGGAGGTGAATGAATAAGCGCACCTTTTGCGATCTCCTTTAGAGCAAACCTGATGGGTTTCGAAGGGTTTTTTTTGCTGCAGTAGGATTAGATGATGATTTGGAATGAACGTGTTAAATGGACAGGCCTGTTTGAGTGATGATCCTGCTTCTACGACCGTCATGAACTCACTGCAAAGCTCTTCTTCGGCAGAGCTGGCACCAGATTATTTATGTCGTGGTGAATGCAACATCGCTCACGCCTAAGGATCGAGACCATATGACTCGATATTCCCGAATCACTGAGTCACCTGCCTGAAGCAAGTTTCCAGACAAGGGCGAGGTTTGTATGAAAAAGTACATAGAGCGAGATGGAAGAGGACTTACCCACGAATAGCAGCCTCCACGACTGAGATCAACGACTCAATAACATTAGCATCAACTTTGTTCAAGGATGCGTCCGTCTGAAATATTACCACCGGCACATGGAAAGATGCAGCTCTCAACGCCGCCAAAAGACAATTTACTTGCAGCTCATTTGGTTGTCCTACCAGAGTCAATTTCCATAGCATAGGAAGATGAAGTCGGCTGAACGTTCCAATGAACACTTGCTGACAGCCGAGATCCGGTGAGATGGGAAGGGTTATCGATTCAAGGCAAGCATGCGTCGCCGAATCATTTCCAAAAACAGCACAGATGTTACCCACCACGAGGGTCTCCAAAAGTCAGACATAGTACACGGGTGACATAACCACGCCTCCTCTCGGAAAAGAGGATATCAAGAAGTCGATAATCTGACTATGAGCGATCCCTACGTTTCTGAGTAATGCAAAGAGCAAGGAGTGGGCAACTTAAGGATATGTGAAAGAATGGCCTCAATGGTCGAACTCGTCTGGGAAACACAACCCGGATGCTCGACCAGGCCCCTGGCGTTGAATGTGCAAGGGTTCACCAAAGGCGGCACACCCTGGTTGAGAGTGGTAGGTGGAGGGCTGGCAACATTAATATTGAGTGAAATGATAGCATCTCCAAATGAGAAGATGCTGGGACAGTCTAGCATGTCGTTAATGACGAGCAAGAATACTTGTTGTAGAAGTTCCACTGGTAGTCGGTGGATGGGATGTTCTTTCATGTTGACGGAGGGACGTATAAACGAGATACGAACAATGCATGGATCTTGTGCAGGAACGGTTTGATCCTTCTTGCCGAATGTTTTCATCATTGAAAGCAGACTCTAGTGTACCTATAAGTGTGTGCTGAGGCAACATCGAGATTCCTCTCGGCAGACGCCGACAACATAACATGTGACGTGACGCCAGCGTCCACTTCATAAATTATCGATTTATCGATACCATTAACCAATAAGATGTTTGTATATTTTCTCCGAACATTTAGGATCACAACTTCTTGAACTTCACCACCCAAGTCTCAGGTGGCTCCCTACCACTCGGAATGAGTCTGCTCCTCGCAAATGCCTCATCCTTGATAAGCCCCACAAAAGCAACACGAGATCCAAGCCAATCGATGCGGAGCAGAAGCAGCTCTCGCTGCACGAGCCTATGATCTACTACATTAGCGCCAGGTACAGGTCTCGCCGCTGGCGCAATGCATGCTGCAGAATGCGAGCTCCCCTGCAACACAGGTTGTATCATTGAGCGACGATCACGCGCTCTGATAAGACTCGCACGTCTGTCATATCCAGCGGTGCCCCACTCTGTATCCGTGAGTGGGCGCTGTAATGCAGCGTGCAGGGTAGTGAGAACATCAAGACACGTCACACCCTCTTCTCCGGCACTGGGGTCAGGACCGATGTCAAATGCCCAGGGGAAATCTGGGCTGATGAGCCGTATCTGTCTAGGCCGTTCCGGGGTAAGTGGGACGAAGAGCAGCTCATACCCGCAGCCTGCATATGGAGACGTCGATGGGAATGCAAGAGATGTAGGGGGGAATCGCAGGTCGTATATCAGTGGTACGGATGGCGTCGCAAGAAATGGGTGGAGATAGGCTAGCGAGAGGCATGAGGAACGATCGGGGTCACAAGTTGTGTCTGAGGCATACCCTTTTGGGTTTCGTTAACGTTTGATGACATTGTTCGTCGCGCGGAATGGTTATCTAGGAAGATATTTGAACACATTGGAAATTAGTAAAACCAGGACGCGTACATATGAGTGGTGTATTCTCTGTATCATGTCGAGTCATGGCGTGCATATCGACAGCATCTTGGAGAAATGGAGCGTGAGCGCCACCTTTATATATCAGATGAGTCAGGTCATATGGTGATTAGATACAACAACAGAGAACCCACCATTCAATGACCGCGAGTTGTGGTCGACAAGACCCGTTATATTTGCGGATGCTAACCAACAAATCAAACTTGGATTCAAAGTGACTAAGGAAAGGGTACTACCTTGTACCCAAAATTCAGGCGGGGGAAAGTTTCATATTGGGGATGAAGAGGATGATTTGAAGGTTCTAACGACAGTTGAGCAGAGAGTTATGGAAAATAATCACGGCTTACGGGTATGGGCAGCGTTAACCCGTGGACGATGCGAGGGGACATTGTTTGCCACATCAATATGCTGTGCAGTTGACAGGGGTGAAGTAACATAGGGAAGCTGCACTGGGGGGTGGGGCCACCTGCATAGCGAACATTGTGAACAGCTGGAGGCGAGGTAGTGGGATTATAGGCAACCCACTGGCCATGGCGGGGACGGGAGGACATGAGGGAGACGAGGATGGTGTATCGAGACTCGTGACGCTCGAGGCATTGCGAGGAGGGCCTGTTATATAGTTTTACCTTAACGCGTTGAGTATTTTTGGCAAAGTTTCCTATAGTCATATCGACTGACTGCATGCTATTCCTCATTAGGATCCTAACCTTCCTCGGACCTCCGCGGACTTTTTCATCTCCGCGCAGCTACGCTCTGGAAAATACAGCATATAGTCACGTGCAAATGTCAAAACAAGTTATAACCTTTACTCCCTGATTTTGAATTGTCAACTCTATGGTGGCCTCACACTCGAAGAAGCTGAGCGATGCAACACTGTCAATGTTTTAAAGTTAGTTTCCCATTCTGCTGTGGAACACCCTGAGTTAGCACTTGACACCAACTCAATCCTTCACCGTAATACCTCCGCTGCTGGCTCCACCTCTAACATATCCCACGACGAAATCATACATGAGGCGAGCTTGTCACCACGTGTATTTCACCTGTTCATTGATCAAGTCGCGACGAAGAGTGGACAGTCTAGTTAACTCTGATTTCAAATTGGGAAACTTGGGAAGTTAGACGTCCCTGCAGCTGCTCGAGGTTTGAAATCATGGCAGTGAAAACATGATGGCGTTGCACTTCTAGAACCATCGTATAGATCACAGGTCCTTGTGAGGCTCTTCTTCAGCGAAACTTTGCACAGCCAGCCAGATTGTCGCCACTGTAGCGAACGTGATCCGGATTGAAAACATTGAAAGCACCGGCGGGTGTCAGAATTAATTTTGGAAACCTTGCCATATAGAGTGATAACCCCTGTGACGCACATGTCAATCCGAAGATGTCCGTAATTATAACAACCAAAAAAAGGTGTTATCCGAACATAATTTTAAGCAGTAGGGCCAGCTAACGTGGCAAAGCCCGCTACCACTCTTGTTGCAGGAACTTCGGGTTTCATGCTTGTCCTTGCTGGATACATCCCAGTACTATACCATACGAGCGGCGCTCAATCTCAGGCTATGCATCATAATAATGATGTTACTGTCCGTAGTCACATGTATCTGATAACTGGAGCACATCGGCTCTACCTCGTGCCTCGGGCAGTCGACATGCTCCCCGTATACTCATTTGCACAGTCCCTGGTAAGTCGAATTATCATAATTTACTCACGGTGCGAGACAAGTAATTCACCAGGCTGCAAATGATCAACAGAACATTCCATGAGGGATCAAACGATGCACTAACAGGGAGGAGCCCAGTGAAGGCTGACATAAGTAATACAGCGATGCGAGAGTAGGCACTGTGCTTCTGCAACCATCGTGAACACGCAACTCACTACAAAGCTCTTCTTCAGCAAAGCTGGCACCAGATTATCTAGCTGTGGTGAACGCAACATCGCCCACGCCTCAGATTGAGATCAAATTGTTCGATGACTCAAGATTCCTGAATTCTGATGTCACTGAGTCACCGGCCTGAAGCAAGTCTCTAGACAAGGTGAGGTTTGTATGAATAAGTACATAGGACGAGATAGCAGAGCACCTACCCACACACAGTAACCTCCTCCACAACTGAGAGGAACGGCTCAATATATTAGCATCAACCTTGCTCAGCGGTGCGTTCGTCTGAAAAGTTACCACCGGCACATGGAAAGATGCAACTCTCAATACCGCGAAAGGATGGTCGGCTACTAGCCTTTGGTGGTACTACCAAAGTCGATTTCCGTGACATTGGAAGATGAGGTCGGCTGAACGTTTTGATAAACCCTTGCCGACAGTCAAGACCCGATGAGACGGGGGGGGGGGGGGGGTTATCGATCCAGGGCAAGCACATGTCGCCGAATCACTTCCAAAAACAGCGCAGATGACATCCACCACGAGGATCTCCAGACAAGAAAAGTCAATAAAATGAAGCAAATGTCTTGTAGGAAAGCGGCCTGGGGTGGGGGTGACGTAGATGCAGATGTAGATTTTGCACATAGAAATATGCGCACTGATTTGGACGTGTTCATGGAAATAGCATGGATTGATGCGGAGGCAAGAAAGATTCAGTGCTTTAGATTTTGCAGAAGTCGGTCCAGCAACATTCCGATATTCTCAACTGTGGTGTGTCGAAGTTATGATTCTAGTCATAGGACATGGGTGACATACGCCTCTTCTCAGAAAAAAGGATATCAAGAAGTCGACAGTCTGCCACCGAGTGATTCAATCCCTACATTTCTAAGCTTAATGCGAAGGGTGAGTGACTACCAGAGAGGGCAAGCCTTAGCCGGCACTTGGAAAGAAATAGCCTCAATAGCCGAACTCGAATACGACCTGGATGCGCGACTAGACCACTGGCTTTGAATGTGCAAGGACTCGCCAAAGGCAGCATACCCTGGTTAAGAGTAGGGAAGGGCGTGTAACGTCGACTGAAATAGTAGCATCTCCAAATGAGAAGATGCTGGGACAGTTTGGCACGTCGTCAACGATGAGCAAGGATACTTGTTGTAGAAGTTCCACTGGTAGTGGCAGCCGATGGATGGGAGGTTCTTTCGTGTAGACGGGAGGGACATGTAAATGAGAGACAAACAATGCATGGATCTTGCGCAGAAGCACTTTAAGTTTGCTCTCCTTGCTTTCATCGATATCAATGAAGGCAAACTCCAATGTGTCGTTAGCCTAGAAACATACGACATCAACATTCCTCTCGGCAAATGCCGACAACACGACACACGAGCTGACGCGACACGAGTTAAGCTTGGACTTGACATCATCGATACAAATCGCCAGTAAGATGTTTGTACATTTTCTCCAGATATTTATAATCAAAATTATAACCTCTTGAACTTTACCACCCAAGTCTCAGGTGGCTCCCCACCACCCGGAATAAGTCTGCTCCTTGCAAATGCTTCATCCTTGATAAGCCCCGCGAACGCAACACGAGATCCAAGCCAATCGATACGGAGCAATATCCTCTCTCGTTGCACGGGCCTATTATTTAGTGCTGATGCGCCGGGTACAGATCTCACCGTTGGCCTGGTGCGTGCTGCAGAATTCGAGCTCCCCTGCAATGCAGGTTGTGTCATTGAGCGACGATCACGTGCTCTGATAAGACTCGCACGTCTGTCATGTCCAGCAGTGCCCCACTCTGTATCCGTGAGTGGACGCTGCAATTCAGCGTGCAGCGTAACGAGAACGCCAAGACACGTCACACCCTCTTCTCCGGCACTGGGGTCAGGGCCAATGTCAAATGCCCAGGGAAAGTTTGGGCTGATGAGCCGGATCTGTTTAGGCCTTTCCGGGGTAAGCGGGACGAATAGTAGCTCATACCCGCAGCCTGCGTATGGAGACGTCGATGGAAAAGTGAGAGATGTAGGTGGGAATCGCAAGTCGCACATTAGTGGCACGGACGGCGTGGCGAGAAATGGGTGGAGATAGGCTAGCGAGAGGTATAAGGAACGATCGGGGTCTCGAGTTATGTGTGAGGCATACCTTTTTGCATTTCGTTAATGTTCGATGACATTGTTCGTGGCGCAGAATAGTCATCTAGGAAGATATTTTTTGAACACTTTGGAAATTAGTAGAATCAAGACACGTACATATAAGCTGCGTATTCTCTGTATCATGTCGAGTCATGGTATGCGTATCAACAGTACCTTGGACAAATGGGGCGCGAGCGTCACCTTTATCAGATGGGTCAGGTCATATGACGACCAGATCCAACGACAAAGAACTCACCATTCCATGTCTGGGAATTGGGGATGTTGCGACGTTGAGGGCTGACAGGATCCGTTACATTCGTGGATACTAACCGAACGAATTAAGCTTGAATTCATGACATGGCCAGGGAAATGGTAACTACGTTGCGCCCAAGGAGAGTAAGTCGTATATGGGGGATGAACATCATGATGATAAGGTTCTAAAAACAGCTGAGCAGGGAGCCGTAGAACAAGGAACGCAGCTCACGTACGGGTGAGGGTGGCATTAGCCTGCGGACGATGCGAGGGGGTATCGTTTGCCACAGTATTGTGTCGTGCAGTTGATGAAGGTAAAGCAATATGGGGCAGCTGTATTGGAGGGTGGGGCCACCCTTCATAACGAGCATTGTGTGAAGCTGGAGGTGAGATGGTAGGATTACATGTAACCCGCTGATATTGCCAAGGGGGACGAGCTGTAGAAAACATGAGGGAGATGACAATGAAGTACAGTGAAGCTTGTAACACTTGAAGCTTGAAGCTTGAAGCTTGAAGCATTGTGAAGAGGGCACAATATATATACGCTGCGACTGCATGCACCTTGAGGCTGAATTCCGATCGGATCGGCGACTCAATTGGGACCACTGCCATCAGCCATGTCCGAGTTCATATGACGTCGACGTGACCCATGGCTCTGCTCTGTCGTTTGTCAATATTTTAGGAACTTGTTGAATTGCAAATTATTACAGACCGGTATTCATACTACCTCCGATACTCCGCTACAAGGCTCCTATGCTCCTGATTTTCATGCACAAGATGGCGACATACGTTCCTTGAGGATTTGATACCAAAGGACATGTCCTAGGCCTGCCCGCGCATCCGAGTCAAAATATGAAGGTGATGTCCGTAACCAGATGGTCAAGACCGAAGTGCGATTAAGTGGACCATCTAGGTTTTACCATATGTAGGATAAGCCAGCATCAATCAATGTTGGGCTCTTACCTGTGAGCAGACTGTGACAGCGCGGACCATACGATAGGTTTATCGTTATTATTAGAAAGCCACGTTAGCCGGTACCCTTGCGCATTTTCTCATGTCGCATAACTGGAAGGTGATGCATATGCATAACCATCATCACTTGAGATCGTAATATCTACTGTGTTACTCGCATAGTATTTTGGGGGCATTCACATCGATCCTTTGTGTCAACATGTGGGCGCCTCACTGGGGGTATTTAATCCTTACTGGATTGCATTTTTTGCCCATTTGACCACGCATATGCCCTCCCAAATAGTCTTTGAACCTGGAAAGCATGCACAGCGAATCGACAGTGAATATAGCTCTATACCGATTTGAGCCTTGGCTTGCACAATTGAACGGTCAAACTGGACCTAGATTCTAGATTATCCTGTACAGTGTTACATGGATTACGACCACATCATCAAAATCCTGCGCCAATTAAACTCCTGCGCCGACTTTGAGGACACAAAACGCTACTAATAGAAGTGCATGCCTAATAGTCTCCAATACGCTATCATGGACTCGGAACTGGGGCCTGTCGAGCCCTACTACTACGCCTGACAAGCTGTTGTTGATGGTGCTTTGAATTTCCATGTGGAACTTCCCACTTCGGACACCGTACCATGGCACTAGACTACATGTCGTTCATTTCAATTGTACCGACCCCCTGGTCCACCGGGGTACAATCATATTTAGAACTGAGGAGGCGCTACAGTCCGCCGCAAATATTCCCAGACCTGTTATCCCGGTGGGGTAACTTACTCAGGCCCCCGTTCACACTGCGCAGCAAATGCAACTGCACCGCAAGACTGGTGTGGCCAGCAATATGCTTGCTTCTGGAAGTTGACTGAACCCGGTGATAAATGCTACTACCCCTGATTAAACTATGCAAACGGCCCGCCCACACCACCCCCCACAGGCTTCTAGCGCTGTTCTACGATGACTTGGTCGACATCTCCTGAAAATACAACAATTCGACTTACCTCCACGTTGGCTTTGGTTCATCGAGACGGCCCGGGACTTTTCAGCGATCCATTTGACCACATTTGACAACCGGACCACATATGGCGACCCGGAACTTTTCAAAAATCTAATGCATTATATGCACATGTCATAGGCTGACCATCGCGACGATCTTGCCATATAAGAGCAAATCCCCTGCAACTCACACCAAAGCAATCATCTATTACAATCAACAACAAATATAATTTTTGTGTAGTTGATCGGGACATTCAAAGTCCTATTCTCTGGAACTTCACCGCCCAAGTCTCAGGTGGCTCCCCATCGCCCGGATTGAGTCTGCTCCTTGCAAATGCCTCATCCTTAATAAGCCCCACGAACGCAACATAAGATCCAAACCAATCGACGCAGAGAAAAAGCAGCTCTCACTGCACGAGCCTATGGTTTGGTGCATTAATGTCAGGTACAGATCTCACTGTTGGCGTGGTGCATGCCTCAGAATTCCCTGCAATGCAGGTTGTATCCTTATGTGACGGTGGCATGCTCTGATAAGACTTGCAGGTCTACCGTGCCCGGCAGCGTCCCACTCTGTATCTGTGAGTGGGCGCTGCAATGGAGCGTACAGGGTAGCAACAACGTCAAGACACGTCACACCCTCTTTGCCAGTAATAAGGTCCGGACCGATGTCAAACGCCCTGGGAAAGTCTAGGCTCTTCCGGCGTAAGTGAGACGCGCAGTAGTTCGTACCTGGAGCCTAGATATGAAGACGACAAAGGAAACCAAGAGATGTAGGTGGGAAGCACAGGTCGTATATTATTGGCAAGGATGGTGTCGCGAGAAATGGGTGGGAATAGGGTATGAGGAATATTCGGGGTCACGAGTTGTGTCTGACGCATACTCTTTTTGGTTTCATTAACATTTAGTGACGTTGTTCGTAGCACAGAATGGTCATCTAGACAAATATTTGAACACCTTGTAAGTTAGTAAGTCCACCCACACATATGAGCCGCGTACTGTCTGTATCATGTTAAGCTGTGATGCGCATCTCAGAAGCGCCCTGAAGAGATAGAGCACAAGGGCCACCTCCGTCGGGAATTAGGGACCCTGCGATTTCAAGAGTCGACGAGAGTCGTTACATCTGCAGAACATGTTAAATCTGAATATTTGAACGTATAACCAAAGAAAAGGTGACTACCTTGTGCTCCAAAATTTGGGCGAGGGTGAGCTTCACACTGGGGATGAACAGGACAAGGTTCTAGTAACAGTTGAGCAAAGAACTGTAGAACAAGAATTAAAGCTCGCGGGTATGGGCGGCATTAGCCTCATGCAGAGATTTTGTTGGAACATTAATTGCAAAAGCAACACATGTGTAGTAGATGAAGGTGAAAACATGCGAGGAAGCCATTGGGGACGAGTTGGAGAAAACATGGGGGAGGTGACGTAGTTGAGTGGTGAGGGTTTGGAACGCTCGAGGCAGGCAGTTATCTGGGTGAACAAGTATCAGGGTGAAGACGCATGAGGAGGGGATTGTATAGTAGTACGTGACATGGCACGTCGAAGTAAAACTGTCCACAGGAAATTTTGCTAATGAGTCTGGATCGGACTGTTCCATATGCAAGCCCCGAAACACTCTGCCAGGACTTGGAAAAAGTGTTACATCTAAGTGCAAAAACAGATGTGACGAACCCGATTGGGCTAATAATGTACGAGGTTGTGGATCTGTGGGACGTTCACTGATTAGTGCTATGTACCACACCACCGATCTGGCTCGGCGTTTCCTTACTTGAAGATTATAGAGTCTGGACCATGCGATGTCAGCAGGCACCGCACAGCATACTGTGATGGAAAACAAAGGGTGAACAAAGAGCGAAAACGAAACCCTAGGAAAGCAATCTAGCATAAGCATCACTTCTAAGTTCTCACACACGACTCACATCGAAGTAAAAGAAGTGCCCCGCAGAAGCTTCCTAGACAATGATCATGATCCGGATCGTGGGACGAGATTTTCAACAGACTCACTAATATGTCATAGGCGGACATATGTCAGTAGGCATTCATTCTGATCTGGTAGCAGTGCCAGGTTCGTAATTAGCCTATATCCGGCGGCAGAGCGCCTACCGCAGCATCAGCGTTCATGACCTCGCAAATGGACGAGGTCCAATCAAAGAGTGATGAGAAGGTAGCTGTGGTGCATTGGACATGTACTTGCATCAGGAAGTGAACAAGGTTCGATGGTTGCTACCAGTGATGGTGAATTCAAGTTTGGCAGACAAATTACCTATGTTTTACTTCTACAACCAACTCGGAGGTGCACAGGCCCTGAAAACCGAAGAGCCGGTGCCAAGTTGTCCAGCGGCAGCTGGTGGTGATCATGAATGCGGTAAGTTCGCTTGCTCAAGTCAGGCCAATCAGGCTGAGTTCTCAACTTCTAATATTGCCATATAAAGAGATTGACTCCTGTTGCTCACCCAACTGCCTGCGTATGGGTGATCTAGCTTTGGTAAGGTGAACAGGCGAGGGGAAGGTAATCAGCGCCTCTCTGATCTCCCAAAGACTCGTAACCAGTCTTACTATGTCTCTGAGATGCTAAGTGCTTGACGGATCTTCCAATCAAGATCATGAGGGTTAAAGCGCCTTGGAGAGACGGAGCATAGGCGCCACCTTTATCCAAACTAAGTCCTATAAAAAAAAAATGATGACAGAGAACTCACCGATCCATGGCTATGAATGAGGGACATTGCGACGTCGAGAGTCAACGTGACCTAACAAATGAGCTTGAAAGTATAGCCGTAAAAAAGGAAATCACCTTGCGCCCCAAAAATCATGCAGGGGTGAGTTACGTGGGGATGAAGTTCTAGTAACAAGTGAGCGTGGAGTCCGAATAAATTTAGAATTGCAACTACGGCTATTGGTGGTTGTAACATTATAGGGATGGCGCGAGGGGGTATCTATAGCAAAAGCGACTTGAACACGGGAAGTTGTATCGGGGGGCGAACCCATCCTTCGTAGCGGACATTGTGCAAGGGTAGAGGCGGGACGGTGGGTT